CTTAGAGGGTATATCCTGTTGCCTTCCCTCAGATCGCTGTCATGGGAAAAGAGCTGGAGGTGATGGTGCCCCAGTTGGATGAGAAATCAGCCTTGATGAAGTCCCTGGTGGACAATCTGACCAAGGAGACGAAGCAGGCGGACGCAGTGAAGCAGAGCGTGATGGAGGACGAGATGAATGCCAAGGAGAAGGCGGCGGTGGCCCAGGCGATATCCGAGGATGCTGGCAAGGATCTGGAGATTGCCATGCCCGCCCTGCGCGAGGCGGAGGATGCCCTCAAGGGTCTGACCAAGGCGGACATCAATGAACTGAAGTCCTTCACCACGCCGCCGGCTCTGGTGCAGTTCTGCATGGAGGCCGTTTGCATCCTGCTGGGCGTCAAGTGAGTGGATTCTCTCCTTCACATTCCTGCATTTAATTGTATCTATAACAGACCTACATGGGCATCCGCCAAAGCCATTATGGCGGACATTAACTTCATCAAGCGGCTGTTCGAGTACGACAAGGAGCACATGAAGGAGGATACCCTGAAAAAGGTCAAGAAGTACATCGATCACAAGGACTTCGTGCCGGCTGTAAGTTAAACCTCTAGAAGTTTAAAGTCGCTAGAGATTGTTCTTGCACTTTTGTGAATATTAATATCTTGACCAACCACGTTTTTTAAAACACTTGACAGAAATTCGAGAAGGTCTCCAAGGTGGCCAAGTCGATGAGCATGTGGGTGATATCCATGGACAAGTTCTCCAAGGTGTACAAGGTGGTGGAGCCGAAGATCAAGCGAAAGGAGGCCGCCGAAGCGGAGCTCAAGGAGGTGATGACGGTGCTGAGGCAGAAGCAAAAGGAACTGGCCGCAGTGGAGGCCAAGATCCAAGGACTTCGCGATAGTCTCGAGGAGAAGCAGCGCGAATTCCAAGTGATCCAGGACAATGTGGACTTGACATACGGGCGGATCAATCGAGCCGGTCGCCTGACCTCTGCCCTTTCCGACGAACAGGTGCGCTGGCGGGAAACGGTGAAATCCCTGACAGGAGATCTGGCCTGTGTGCCGGGCGATGTCCTGGTCGCGGCCGCTTGTGTCGCCTATTTGGGAGCCTTTTCCCACGAATATCGCAGGGACATGAGCGCCCTGTGGGTGAGCAAGTGCCATGAGCACAAGATCCCCTCCAGTCCCGAGTTCAATCTGCTCAAGGTCCTGGGCGATCCGTACGAGATGCGGCAGTGGAATGTGGACGGTCTGCCCAAGGATAACATATCCATCGAGAACGGCATCTATGCCACGAGGGCTCTGCGCTGGGCCCTCATGATCGATCCCCAGGAGCAGGCCAATCGCTGGATCCGCAACATGGAGCGTGCCAACAATCTGCAGGTGATCAAGATGACCGACTCGTCCATGATGCGGGTGCTGGAGAACAGCGTGCGCCAGGGATACCCGGTGCTGCTCGAGGAGATCAACGAGACCATCGATCCCAGTCTGCGGCCCATCCTTCAGCGGGAAACGTACCGCTTCGAGGGTCGCGTCTATTTGAAACTGGGCGATATGGTGATCGACTACGACGACAACTTCAAGCTGTACATGACCACAAAGCTGCCCAATCCCCACTATTTGCCCGAGGTGTGCATCAACGTGACCCTGGTCAACTTCCTGGTCACCGAGAGCGGTCTCGAGGATCAGCTACTGGCGTGAGTAGAACTATTCAAATTAGCTTAGATTTTATAACTAATAATTTAACACTTTTTGGGAGGTTTATAAATATATCTGATTTGATAATTAATTTGATTACATTGTTAGAGACATTGTGGCCATCGAGCTGCCCGCCATGGAGATCCAGCGAAACGATCTGGTGGTCAAGATCAACTCGGACAAACAACAATTGCTGGCGCTGGAGGACAAGGTGCTAAAGCTGCTCTTTAATTCCGAGGGCAACATCCTCGATGATGAAGAGCTGGTGGAGACGCTCAATGACGCCAAGGTGGGCTTGAATATAAGTATTAATACACAGACTTGCCTTATTATAATGACTTTGTATAGGAAACATCGCTGATCATTGCCGCCCGATTGATTGACACCGAGGAGACGGAGAAGGTCATAACCGCATCTCGGGAACGCTATCGCATCCTGGCCTCCCGCGGGGCCATTCTCTACTTTGTGGTGGCGGGTCTGGCCGAGATCGATCCGATGTACCAGTACAGTCTGAAGTACTTCACCCAGGTCTTCTGCAATGTCCTGCGATTGGAGCATCCACCGCAGGCGGTGGAGCTGCGCATTTCCACACTGATGACGGACGAACTGAAGGCCATTTTCGACAACATATCGCGTGGCCTGTTCGAGAACCACAAGATCATCTTCAGCTTCCTGCTGGCCCTGTCGGTTGAGCGACAGGAGGGTCGGGTGACCGAAGGAGAGTTCCTCTTCCTCACCCGCGGTCCCGTGGGCAATATTCGACCAAAGAAGAAGCCGGACAACATCAAGATGAGCCAGATTGAATGGGATTCTTGCATCTTTCTGGAGGACAACTTCGGGAACTATTTCAGCGGCTTCACCAGCGATCTGGACAAGCCCTTCTTCATCCAGCTGCAGGAGAACAAGGAGGTCTTCGACTTTGCCCAGACCAATCAGCCGCCCACGGACAAGTGGAACAAACGTCTGCTGGTCTTCCACAAGCTGATGTTCATCGGGGCCTTCCGGAAACCGCGGTTCCTCCTCAACGTGGTCTGCTACCTTCAGTCCACCGTGGGCAAGTACTTCACCGAGGCCTCCGGCGGCACTCAGTTGAGCTCTGTGTAAGATCCTCTACTCCTGTTGCTCCCAGTATATACTTGTAATCCGTATTTTTAAATGTCCCTTCAGCTATTTGGACACCTCGGCGGTGACGCCGCTGATCTTTGTGCTGTCCACCGGCTCGGATCCGATGTCGGGCTTCCTCAAGTTCACCACCCAGATGCAGTTCACCGACAAGTACTACTCCATTTCGCTGGGTCAGGGCCAGGGCCCGCTGGCGGAGAACCTGATCGACAAGAGCCTGCGACTGGGTCACTGGGTGTTCCTGCAGAACTGCCACTTGGCCACCTCGTTCATGCAGACGCTGGAGACGATTGTGCGGAACCTGACGCTGGGCATCACCAAGGCGCATCCCGATTTCCGTCTGTATCTCTCCTCGATGCCCATTCAGACGTTCCCGATCAGCGTGCTCCAGAATTCGGTGAAGATCACCAACGAACCGCCCAAGGGCATCAAGGCGAATGTGTTCGGGGCGATGGCGGATCTGAAGCCGGACTTCTTCGAGCAGCACATCCAGAACGGCAATTGGCGTGCCATTGTCTTCGGGCTGTGCATGTTCCATGCGGTTTTGCTGGAGCGGCGGAAGTTCGGTCCTCTGGGATGGAACATCACGTACGAGTTCAGCGAAAGCGATCGCGAATGCGGCTTAAAAACACTCGACTTCTTTATCGATCGAGAGGTGCTCGACGACATTCCCTGGGAGGCCATACTCTATATTAACGGGGACATCACCTGGGGCGGCCGGGTGACGGACTACTGGGACTTGCGCTGCCTGCGCACCATCCTGACGATCTTCTCCTCGAAGAGGATAATCCAGCCGGATTACAAGTACTGCCGCGGCGATAGCTACTACCGGGATCCGCGCAAAAAGACGCTGGTCGAATACTCTGCCTATGTGCAGGGATTCCCGGTGCTGGAGGATCCGGAGATCTTCGGCATGAACCAGAACGCCAACATTGTGTTCCAGACCAAAGAGACGGCCTTCTTCATCAGCACCCTGCTCCTGGGCCAGCCGAGATCCGCCGCAGACGAGGGTCAGGCCGCGGAGAACGAGATCTGCCAGCAGACAATCGCTCGCATCCAAAAGGCCCTGGCCACCAAGATTAAACGGGAGCCCATCCACGACACGCTCTCGATGGTGGGTTTTGAAAAGAGTTTCATACGTTCCAAGTCATCATATTTACCCCTTTTCCAGCTGGACTCCAAGGGTCAGGTGCCATCGCTGACCATTGTGCTGGTGCAGGAGATCGACCGCTTCAACATCGCACTGGGCATCATCCATGACAGCATGATCAACTTGGCCAAGGCCATCAAGGGATTGGTGGTGATGTCCGAGGAGCTGGAGAACGTGTTCAAGGCGCTGCTGTCCAACCAAGTGCCCGCATCCTGGGCCAAACGCTGCTTCCTCTCCATCAAGCCGCTCCCCAGCTACATAGCCGACTTCCAGCGGCGCATCGACTTCATCCAGCAGTGGGCGGAAAACGGAGCACCACGCTCCTATTGGATCAGTGGGTTCTTCTTTCCGCAGTCCTTCCTCACCGGCGTCCTGCAGACATACGCCCGCCGACGAGTCCTGCCCATCGATTCGCTCAAGATCGACTTTGATGTGTTCGAGAAAGAGCTGATTCAGCAGGATTTCTTCGAGATGCACATGAACAACATGAATGTGAGTACTAAGACCCAAATTTGCAGATAAATATTGCACAGAGAAAATAAATAGTAAAAGTAAAATTAATTGAAATTCGGTAGCTCCTATTAACTTCCTATCTGTGTTGCATAAATTAATTTATTTTAATGTTTTATTTTACTCTTTTCAGGACCAAAAGCTGTACGGCAACCTGCAGGAGTGCACGGATGCCATTATCAATGTGCACGGCATCTTCATCGAGGCAGCTCGCTGGGATTTGAGCCGGGGTGGTCTGTGCGACGCCAACTTCGGGGAGCTCTTCTCCCGGATGCCGGTGGTGAGGTTCAAGCCCTGCCTGGAGATCTCGCCGGTGGTGCGGTATGAGGCGCCCCTCTACAAAACCCAACAGCGATCCGGCGTCCTCTCCACCACGGGTCACTCGACCAACTTCATTCTGGCGTGCCTTCTGCGCAGCAACAACGACCCAGAGTTTTGGATAATGCGGGGCACAGCTCTAGTTTCGGCGGTATTGGAAAACATTTGTTAAGACTTACGAGTGGGGGGAGGTTTAGATATTATTCGAATTTTTTGGTTTTTTTTTCTGCATACTTCAAGCCGTCTTTATTTCGTTTCTTGTTCTCGGGATTTCTAGCGAAGGTGTACAATACGTATTGTGTGTGTGTGTGGATTAGTTAACTATTTAGCTTAAGGTCAAGACTTGTGAACTAGAGTATATACAAAAGCGAAGTGTTTTTGAAATCCCTAGAGATTTCTTCCTTCTTTCAAAGGCATTCAAATATTTAATCTCTTGAGATTTCACAAACACATCGTTTAGTAAGTAGTTCCGATTTTGTGCACTAGTTTTTGTATCGTATCAAAAGCAATTTTACAAATTAGACTTATTTATTTTGACAAGGCAAATTGGGGTCGAAGTAGAGCTCAAAATACGAGCTAGTTATGGCAAAAACTGACAAAGTCTTCATTAAATATCTGACAAAATGTTCTTAAGCCTATGCGTATATTTTTTGTAGACATCTGTATTGTTCGTATATACAAGATTTTACTTTTCAAGTCTCTTTTCAATATTCTCATTCAGTATTAATCAAATCTACTTTGGAATTCTAGACCTTGCTTACACACACACTGAGAGAAACACACTCACAGGCACAACTATATGTATACTATGTACAATTCCTTTCGGTTTCAGTTTCAGTTTTAGTTTCAGTTTAAGTTTCGGTTTGGTCACAGTCTATGTCGTATATCAATCGACAGGTGGACAGACAGATAACAGATAAGGCAAATCTAACTAATTGACTAACGATAAACATACACTGATAGATAGAGGAATGTGGTGGCTGCAGGTAATGCAGTTGTTTTTCTTTTGTTTGGTTTTTGTTATTTTGTTCGCCTTTTCTAAGTACTAATACTGCCGTTCTCTACTCCAATTATTGTGAAAGGTGTGGATTTCGAATTGGATTTGGAAACGTGGAAATGTGGCTTAGGGGCTAAGGGTTACGGGCATAGGGAATAGGTTGTAGATATATAGGTTGGTCTTTTTAGTTAGTTCACCGCATAAATGGAATGCTAAATTAGTTAGAAAACTTATGCACTAATTATTGCTGGACATTGTCTCTCCTCAACTTTAAGTACTTAGTCACTAAATATACAAATTAGCTAAACAACGCGAAAAAAATTAATTTAAAAAAAAAATGTAAATAGAATTATTGATAAACTGTCGTATAACACGTTCCGCAAAATCGTTCATTAGGAAGCACAATTTGGTGGGCGCAGATCGCTGCCTACAATTTTTTACTGTCCATATCGATCCTGAGATCGGGCAGCGATCCTCGAGTCTGCAACAGACTCCGCTTCTCCGGATCCTTGACCTTCTTGGGCTTCGGTCTGTTCGTCTTCGTGTAGCGATTGATCACTCCATCGCTCTCGTCCATCATGCGCAGGATGAGCGCCTGGTCGGAGGAGTCCAGCGGCGCTATGGAGATGTCACGCACAGCTCGGAACTTACCACAATTGTTCAGATGTTCGTTCTCCAATCGGAAAAAGTTCCAAACAAAGCGCCTGAAATGATATAAGGCTTAATTAACTTGGACAGGATTGTATTCTGCCATCTAAACTCACCGGAACACCTCCAGGATGCCTGTGATGGAGGTCATTATATCACTGCTCACTATTTTCATCTCGGTAAGGTAGAAAGACAGCGCCCAAATAAAGCGTAATGCCAAATCTTCGACAATGGCAAAGTAGTAGAAACCCTAAGGGGTGAATAAAGATTAAGAATTAAACCATAGTCAATAAAGACTGGTAAATACAATTACAGACAAATTACGGAAATATTGACTATATTGTATCCAACATATTTCGAATTAAAATATTTACTAACCGTCGAAGAGTAGACGACTTCCTCGCGCAGGAAAGTATTCTCGCCGGCATTCTTGTCGAACAGACCCCAATCCATTTTGATGTCCCAGGTGTAGGCATAGCAAGAGGATACAATCGAGGCAATGATCCACAGCCAGGTATAGGGATTGTCAAACGTGCTGGCATAGTTCGCTAAATTAAAAGAACAAAACCATTGAAAAATATATATTAAAGAGAAAAATATAACACTCACGACTGTGAAAGCTCTTGAGGGTGGCGAAGATCACTACTAGGAAGGTGGTTGAGTATTTGCCGGCATTTACCAAATGGGGAAAAGCCTCCCGCGAGTCGCGATATCGCCGCAGGCACTGGGCAAATCGAAACCAAGCGGGCAGGCAATTGACAATCGGCCGGATGATGAAGTCCTTCTCCATGCAAATAGAGGCATCCCTTGCCTCCGTCCAGTTGCCATTTGTGAAATAGAAACAAATCAGATACTCGAAGTCCAGGATCGCTGTAGCCAACGAATTCAGCTGATCACCCAGCCAGAAATCGGCGAAGCCCACATGAAAGAACGGTGCGGAGAGACAGCGACCAGTGATTCGCCACAGCCAAAACCGAGCATCGTGATGGAGCACATGGAACGGATTGGCCAAAAACAGCACCATAATCAGCGTAAGCGTGAGCGGATTGATAAACGCCGGTATAGCCAAGCTGGCACTGTAGAGAAAACTCAACATGCTGAGTGTCCAAATGACGCCGAAGATCGCCGCCAATTCCATAAGATGCTGTTCGGATAGATGATTGCGCGGATCTAGCTCGAATATTAGTACATGATTCACGCCCGACGACCGCCAGCCGTAGATATTCACGCCGATGAGAAAGATGAACTCGATGATGAGCAGGGGACCGCGATACAGGCGGAACGTGACCTTCAGGTTCTCGCCGCTGATTTCGTGGAAGATGGCCGACAGCACCACCACAATGCCCAGCACTATGAAGCTGCCGGAGAAGAGGCCCACCTTGAAGGTGGTCCACGGACTCTGCTGTTCGCCCAGCGGTGGAACTCGAAGTCGCTTCATTGCCCGCTGCCGATCGCCGCCCTCCAGTTCGCCAGTGACCGTCGTCTCCGTCTCGTTGATGATGTTGTCGATATCCTTGTTGGTGAAGAAGTGCGACGCCTCCACATACTCCTGCCTCCATTTAGCACCGGTATCAACGCGTAAAAGCTGTGGCGCAAAGATAGGATAACATTTTATAAATCAAATAGTTAGAAATATGTATTAAAGTACACTTATATTCTATAATATTTATTAAAAAATGATATTGTATCTTTCTAAATTAAAAGCTTTCATAAGATTATATAGTCACTAATATCAACAATTTATTCTAATAAATCTCAAAATAATTACTGGCTCACAAAAGTAATAAATACACCAAAAGTAAATCCCAAAATCCCTTAGTGAATTGGAATTGATTTCAAACATATTTCACCGATTGTTTTTATCTCAAAAGAGTAAATGATTCACTCATACTTTATGATGGTAACCGAAAAGCACATAATTGAAAAGCTCGAACAATACAAGTCATAGCTGGCGATAACGCTGACTATATTTAGCCAACTTTTCCCCGAAAACTCTATAATAAATATGAATTACTAATTCCTCAGACAAAATGTGTTATTCCTCAACGTGTTTTACGCCGCAGACTAGACGTAATCCAACAAAATTCTTGACTAGGTCAAGGTTCAGTGATGCCTCTGCGGTGGCCGTAAATCAGACTCACTTTATCGTGCTTCTTGAGTATTTTACGGAAGCCGGTGTGATTCAGATTCTGATAGTTCTGCAGGAGGATCAGACTCAGGTAGAACTCGCTGAAGGCCAACTTCAGTTCGCGGGCCTTGCGATCCGGCAGCGCGGCATGCCGTTTCTGGCCCTTGGACTTCTTGGCACTCCGCTCCGACTCCTCAATGGAGGTCTTAAGCTCGGCATTTAGGGTGGCAAATTTACGAGTGGCCTCTGCCAGCTTTTCTGAGTAGAATGTGTTGATCTTCTTTAGCTCCTTGTCGCAAAAATGAAAGAAGTTCTCATCGAAGTTGGCAAAATGCCGCTTCAGCACATCATCCTCTACACTCTCCACCGATGGCGCCTCCTCCACGGCCAAATACAGCATGGCCTTCATTTCCTGTAGCGCAGAAATTTGAATGTCAGTTGGGTCAGCAATGGGTTCATATTGGGTTGGCTCGAACTCACCTCATAGTTGATGTATTGTTTGCGCCACTCAGGCGTTATGTGCGCCGACAGGTGCTCGGCGAACTTCATGGCTGCCGCTGTTTTGGCCTGGCTATTCTAGGGCTATAGCTCAGTCCAGTCCAGATCGGATCCGTTCCGTTGATCGGCGCTGCACTGAAGCGCGTCTGAAACGATAAAATATGAGAGTTGTTAAGGGCACTTCCTGATAGTAAATCGTATTACTTAAAACTAGACTTTTGTTTAGCCATAATAGGGTTTAAAATATGATAGTACCCTAAGACTTTTTTAAGCAACATTATTTATAAAACGAACAAAGAGTTTAATAACTAAGTATAGGCATGAATAATGTCAAACTTAAGAAAATAAAATAATAAAGGCCGTTAAAAGTACTTGAATATTATCCAATTTTATATTATTGTGCAAGCTTAGTAATCTTTTATGGCCTTTAAGCACAAAAATTAATGTTTATTTATTAAAAACGTGCAGCAAGAAAGATTAAGATTAGGAAAGATATATTTTATAATGATTCACAGCCCAAATACACTTGTTTTCCCTGAGAGTGAGTAATGCGAGGGCCTAAAAGTCGAGTCAGCAGCACTCGGATTATACTGAACCGAGTTATCCATGAATTCAGAACCCATCGTTCAGCTTTCTCCAAGTTGCTAGTGGTAATTTAACGGATGAGTGACTGGACTAATGGATAATGGCTCAAATCAATGCGGTAGCTAATCGGTCGTATTAACCAAGCACCTAATATACGACTACCAGCGATCGTAAATTGCACGTTGGTGGGTGTGTTTTTCATAACTGATAAGCTTCAGCCCCGAAAAAAAGAGAATATACGTACATATAAGCCATAAAAACACAATTATTGGGGTCTGTGCCACCCGACTCTTTACAGAATATATGTTTATATCATTAACGGGGCCCGCATAACGAGTTAAGCAAATTGGAAAATTTTTGTCGCCCGTTCAAACAGCACCGAATAAGATATTCTTATATACAGATACAGATAGAGATGCGAGAGAGTTTTAATCAATTGCACAAATATTTGCGTCGCCAACTGTTGCTGTGGCATTTGTTACTATTTATGTCTCTTATTTTACGGCTGCCCTTCCTCGTTTTCTGGGCGCAACTTCCGCCTAAGCCCCTTTCCTACACAGTTAAAAATGAACCACTAATTGGGCATAAAATTAATTTTGCAAAACTATCAACATATCTGGGGATTGTTTTTTAGAAAATGTTTTGAAGAAATCTATACATGTTGCTTTATTTTAGAAGTTTTTCACTTAGAATGCAGTTCATTTATTATTTTTGATTAGATACATTATTGAAAACCCTGAAAAAGATAGTGGCCGACGTAATTAATAAATACGGCTAGCATTTTTTGTTATCTTAATCTCATTATTAACTTGTCAATTTAAAAAAAACGTATACTATTTTTAACATTTCATAGCTATAAGTGCGCAAGCAATTTAAATTTGCTGTTACGATTTAATTTGAATTATTATTAATTAGTTGTATCAATATGATGTAGATACTACGAATTCAAGCTGGATATTATTATTATTGATAACCACTAAACCATTTTAATAAAGATGTACAATCTTATTCATATGTGAACAGTTTAGTATCGAATGGAAATACCAAGTTTAAATTGATGTTATTTTGATGTTTATACTTGATTCACGTAGAATAAGCATATTTTTTTGAACTGGTATTCTGATGATTTTTTTCCTCTGCATACCCATTTCCATAGTTTATGGTTATTTCCACCAGTGGAACCCAGAAGAGTGGCCAATACCTGGGCGATAATTGATGACAGGGTCAGTGGAGGGGGTGGTGGTGGTAGGGGGTGGGACCGACTGGCGGTCAATTAACGTCAACAGTACAGCCTAAATATAGATCGGTTCGGCTCGCTGATTGATTAGACCCGTGGCGAACAATGGCCATCGTAATGGATTAGAGGTGTTGTCTCTGATCGATCGACATCGTCGGCGGATCTGAAGTTATCCCGGCGATCTCATAGTTCCGACCTTATCGCCTTATCGCCGCTGTTCACAGATTTCTCCTCTGTAGTTTAATTAGCACTGATAACGAAACGGCTGGGCTTATAAAACATGTGCTAGTGCCGACTAAAACAACAGCACCAACAGCTGACACACAAAGCTTCATAATCGCTGAGACATCGCCGGAACACATCGACGGCACACGTAGACGCAAATATTTGATCAATAAAACAAGAACGAAGGGTTCGGTTGGGGGGACCGAAACTGGAAATACCCTTACCCACAAACTATTGCTATGGGAGCTGGAATACTACAGATCTTAAGTCAATTATAAGCCCCAATCTGCAACAATCTCGATTGGTTTATCTTAAAAAACAAACAACTTGCGACATACTATAGTATATAATCAAAAAACCTTTCCATTTGTACATTAAAGATCACAAAGTATTAGACTATTCATTATAAACAGAGAAAACTTGAAACCAACGAAAACAAAGAGAGAATGAAACAAAGCACTGTGTAGTACTCATTTAATTGTTTTTCATTAAGAGCTGTGAAATGTATAAGTAAGAAAGTTTTAAAGAATATGTCATTGAATTGAAACATAAATACGCTAAAACTCACATTTTTCAATTTTAGTTTGGGTTAGGAATATAAATTAATATTCTCGTAATCACTTATCATTTAGAAATATTAGTAACTAAATACCTGTTTACAATATATTCAGGTTAGTTGGATTAAGATAGGATATTCACTTAAAAACACTTTCAATTCAGAAACTTTAAAAGCTTTCAGGCAGTATTCAAAAACTCAAATAAAACACTTTTGATTAATGGAAAGGAAAAATAAATAAGTCAATATATTTTTTAGTTGAGACGATCATTATTTAAGCAGGTATTGCAAACCTCTTCGAGTAATGTTAGTACCCCTTTGAAGGTAAAGTAGAAACGAATGAAAAGAGCGAAGTGGCGATATTGAAGCTGGGATATACTGGACTGAATCGTTGGCTTTTGATTTTTGTTGATTTTGGCCCAGGGGCGGAGGCAGCGAAGTGGGCGGGGCGGCAGAGCTAGCTCATCAATTTGTCTTGTGATTTTTCGCCTTCCCCACAATTGGCTCAAACGAGGCGCAATTGGAGGCACCCAGTCCGAGATTATCGGACGTTTCGTGGACGTTTTTGGGGGGGATTTGGTGGTGGTGGGGTGCTGGTGGGAAATTGCTTTTCAATTACATAAAATTACATACATACGCTGCACCGCGCTGCAGTTTGCACTTGCAATTCGTCTCCAAGGGGGCTTCTATTTTAGCATCTCAAGCTGCTCCCACACAGGCCCTTGCTTATTGTCAACAGTCGCTGATTTGTTAAGTACACTGCTTATCACCGAATAGCGCGCATATCACTGAAATTCAGACGACGGGCGAAATGCGAGGGCCAAACAACAACAAAGAACTAAACGAACCACACAAACTAAAAACATACCAAGTATTGGAAAACGAGCGCGCGTTGCTGGGGCACCAGTCTTGCATAGCGACCGAACAGTGCTGTTAGGCGCATGTTATAAGTCACGATCACTGTTAAAGTTTATTGAAAAAATAAATTTTAAAAAAATTAATTACAATACAACAGAGACAAAACATAACCTAGGAATTTTCCTCTTTTGCAGTGGAAGAATGTCAGCAAACTAAAAATGTATTAAGCAAATTTTGTTTTAATGTCTTACTGAAACCTGATAAGCGCTTTTGCTAACCATATTTGATTTCACATATATTTATTATAATATATACAAATGGGAAGCGCCACGGTTGTCTCAAGTTAAATTTTGTAAACATTTGTATGCAAAAACAGTCTATTTAAAATTTCAGTGAAAATTTGAACCACTGTACTTCTGTAGTTTGTCAGCGTGTTTGGTATTTTTCAGTATTTCACCCCCTGGTATATTTTACTTATTCCGACTTGGTCACACTGCCACTGACGCAAACAAATTGCGATTTTACATTATACTACCTAAAAACAACTTATTTCACCAAAACAGAGGACCCGATCCGTTCGCTCCAGTCCATGAGTGCAAACTTGAAGAACATAAAGCTGAGCCACTTCGGTGGCGGCGGATCCGGCGGAGCGCCCAGTTCCGGTGGCTTTGGCATCTCAGCGTCGTCCGGAGGCGCTGGCAAACTGCCCACAAATGGCACGGGTGGCGGGAAATCCGCTCCGACAAGCTCCTTCGCGGAGGCCGAGGTGCTGGCCACGCCCGGAGGCGTCGTTATACCCATCATTCGCACCCGGGACGTGGCTAAGTTGCTGCCCACAATTGCAACCGCTCTGCAGCGTCCGGCGGATGATCATTTGGCCGCCGAGGATCTGGATGCAGTGCAGCTGGAGCTAGAACAGATGCTCTCCAATGTGGCGCTGCGCACGCGTGTTCTGAAGACAGAGTACGATAGCTTGGACAAAGATGAGAAGCGCCAAGATCGCAGAAAGCTAGACCGCGTCCCTGGATCGCCACCTTGCCCAACTAGTATGCTAAATGGCTTACTCGGCATTGGCAGCAACTCCTCCACGAGTCTGGGCAGTCCCCTGGGCGGGGGAGGCGCCTCCTCCTCCAGCCAGTCAAAGCGGAAGCGTGAAGAACCGACGGGCGTGCGCAAAAAACACTCCTCGATGACCATTCTTAAGCAACAAGGCGTTTCCAGCAGCGCAGCGAAGCATCAGGCCAAAAACAGCCCTCTGATCGTGCACACCGATGACAGCATGGACTACCTGCCCACCTTGGTGGCAGCCAACGCCTCTGGATCCGTGCTGCCGCACCATCAACCTTTGCCTCAGCTGCCCAAGGTGGCGGTGCCCAAGAACGATACACCCAACAAATTCTGGCTGTCTGTCGAGCCCTACTGCATGCCCCTAACCAACGAGGATCTGCGTCTAATCGATGACCTGCTGGAGCAGTACCGGGGTCCTTTGGTGCCGCCAGTGCCCACGCTGGGACCGCATTACTCCACGGTTTGGGCCGAGGAGGATATGAAGGCGTTGCAGCCCGGAGGAGCACGCCTCAAGTCGCATAATGCTAGCGGAATGCTCAAAAAGGCCGAGGGAATGGTTGAGGAGAGCATTACGGGCCCGCTGACCCAGCGTTTGGTTTCCGCCTTCATGGAGGAGTCGCTGATGACGCTTCCCAGCGAACAGGCCGCGGTGGGGGAGCACAGCAACAGCACCACGAGCAGCAGCAACGAGAACACCCACTCACACTCCTCATCTTCAGCAAATGCCGCAGCGGCGGCTGCCTCCGGCAATTTCCGATCACTCGCCATGATGAAACATGGCGTGGGCATCGAACAGCGCCTGAAGAAGACTCTGATAGAGAACGGTCTGATCGACGCCAGTGAGTTTGCGGCCCAGGAGGACGTAGACGAGGTGCTGCTGGAGATCAAGCGGGTCACGACCGAAATAAGCACTATTTCCCAATTCAACAGCGAGGAACTGAAGCGGCTTCGTTCCGCCGCCAGCGAGGAGATCAAACGGATTGCAATCAAGCGGAAATTGGACACGGTCGACCAGGAGATACTTGAGTGCTACAAACGGATGCTGCAGTATCGGGCCAAACGCAAGGGCCACACCATCGAGGAGAAGCAGGAGATACTGCGACTGACCAACGAACAACGCCTGCTAGCGGATCAGTTGGAGCGGATGCAGATGCATCTGCCATGCATCGGCGGCTCTGCGGGCTCCCTTCTCGAGTCCAAGATGTAGGACAGGACCCTGGCCTGGGGCTGGTGCCAGCTAATGGCCATGCATCAGGCAAAGAGGCAGGTCCGTGACGCTAGCCTCAAGCTGCAATGTGTCTGAAGGGATCCCTCCTCTGTCTCGTCTCCTTCCTTTTCGCCAGACTGTACATTAGCAAAGAATATGACCCTGTAGAATGTAGCGTACCCAAACCGAGGTGTGGATAGTTAGGAGAAGGTGCTCCAGTGGCCCTAAAAAGCCCTGCATAATATCAGCTTTTGGTTTCTCCAAATCAAAAGCCACCTTCGAGACTTTCTAATAACTTCCCTATCCCGTATTCTTATCTTTGTCGCCAGACTGTACATTAACAAAGATATATACCTTATAGTATGTAGAGTTCAAGATTAAAGTGAATTACATTATTTAGATAATATATTCAAAGTGGCGGAAAGTAACTTATGGCTAATTCCAAGCTGACCTATTGTGAAACCCTAGTTATGCTATTTGAAGACTTAAAAGTTTTAAAAATAGGAAAAAAGACAAATTTATGTTCATGAAAAATATACTACCAGAAACAGCCTTTCGTCTTTATTTTACAATTGCTAGGAATGAAATACAACATAAAGAAGGTTGCATACTTCCATATATTTTATGGCTTAATAATAAAAGCTGCTAAAATATGCTAGATTTGGCTTTGTAAATAGAAATAGTGTTGATATAAGATCTTTACTCAATAAGTTGAGTTTTCTTTTAAATTTAATCTAAAACCCTTAAGTACTAGAATTACCCACAGATTACTATCCGTCTCTAGGAATCCAAAGTTTTTTTTTTGTTTTTTGCAACTATAAATATTGAGCCACCCTATTTAACGCTCCCAAATACGTACACTTTGTATAGCTTAAGTTATCGCACGGCAATAAAGTTGTCACTATCGAGAGTAAACCGCAGAATTTTCCGCCGTGGAAGTTTGGAGAAGAAGAACCACCGCACTGGGTGAACGTTGCGTTCGCTTTGAATTCGATCTTGTGAGCCGCGCGGGCCAGGTGAACTCTAGCGGATGTGTGGAGTGGAGGCGCCTCCTCCACCGATCTTGTTTACCCAACCGATAAGTCGCAATCAAAGGCGGCAATTCTGGAGTGCGGCTAATTAAATTCAAACAAGAGGGGGTCTTCGATCCGAGGATGCCTTTCCGGGGATCACAGTTTCCCTATCTTTTTCGCTAATCTCAAAGGCAAATATCTCAAAAAAACAAACTTTATTGCTGGTAGCAAAAGGCAGTAGCTTTAGTCTTCATTGAACATTGCCGGTGGCCTTTTTCTTAAATGTGATGTGTGTGTAAATGATTGATTGTACTTCATGTGTGCTGCGGTGCAGTGGCTTGACTGGTGGATCCCCTCCAGCTGCTTCCGGATCCCATATCACAAACGCAATCGCAGTCTTTAGTATACTAGAGTATCAAAACTAGAGGTGTTCGAGTTATTCGCCCAAGGCGGCAAACTCATCAGGATGGGCGGCCAACAGGTCGGAGCGACAGGAGACCTGTATGGCCGAGGCGTTGGCTTTGAGACGGAGATTGGCATCGTTTGTGAGGAGCATCATGTTTGGCACTTGCTGCTGCAGCTGCAGGCAGCAGTTGACTATGCTGTCGTCCGGGCAGTCCACTTCGATCAGGTGCTCCGCCTCATCCACGGCGGATTGAGCTGCAACATGAGTAATATGGGTTAATATCAGAGATTTTGTTATGTTTAATCTGTTTAAACCCACCTTGTATTTCCAAACTCTCATCGAATTTCGTGTTCAGGTAGCGAATGGCTCGCACGGCAATCAGTCGCTTCGGATCATCCCCGTGGTGCTGACCCTTCAGCTTGTCTAGCTCCTTGATGACTATGTAGGGAATGTACAGCATGCTGCCCACCGTTCCCGGCAGCACCACCTCGGTGAGACTCTCCACAAACTTAATGTTGTGCATTAGAACGTTTGTGTCCAAAACGAAATACATGTGATCTAGGAGGTGGGTGGGTAACTCCTCACTATCCGCGGCTTGGCGCATAAGCAGGATGTCGTCCTCCTTCCGGGCCAGATCCTCATCCTGCTTTGGAGGTTCATCTTCTATGGACTCCTCCCATTCCATGGGCTCTGGTTCCACCTCGCTCGCCGTCGAGCTGTTAAATGCACTCGTGTTTGTGGTATGGCCGTTTCCTTGCTGTTTTTTGTTGCTTTTTTCGTTAGCCTTGCCTACATCATTGTTGTTAAGCTCCTGCTCCTTTTGCTTCTGCTGCAGTGTAGTTATTAACTGCGTTAGACGCTGGTTGGCTAGCAAGAAGAATACAAGTTAAATAAAAAAAAAAGTTAAAAAGGAAGGAAGATGTAGGAAGATTTTTAAAAGGAGAAACTTACACTTAAAAACAGTAGGCAACCTAAAAAAAATTAACTCGAAATTTAAAACTTAGCTTTGAACGCAGATTTTTAGGGAATTTAACCACGAGCTATTAAAGACATACCATTCTAAAATCGGACCTCAGATAGAAAAGTTATGGGCTTAGAAGTACAAGATTTAGGTCACTTTTCTGCAACTCCAATTTCCGGAAATTTGGAAAGGGGTTACTTCATGGAAAATCGACCCAAAATTACAAAAAAATGTGTGAATGCAGATTTTTAGGGAATTCAACCAAGAGCTATTTAAAACATACCATTTTAGAATCGGACTTCAGATAGAAAAGTTATGGGCTTAGAAGTGCCAGATTTAGGTCACTTTTCTGCAACTCCAATTTACAAAAATTTGGAAAGGTGTTACTTCATGGAAAATCGACCCAAAATTACAAAAAAATGTGTGAATGCAGATTTTTAGGGAATTCAACCACGAGCTATTTAAAACATACCATTTTAGAATCGGACTTCAGATAGAAAAGTTATGGGCTTAGAAGTGCATATTTTAGGTCATTTTTCTGCAGCTCCAATTTCTTCATGGAAAATCGACCCAAAATTACAAAAAAATGTGTGAATGCAGATTTTTAGGGAATTTAATCATGAGCCATTTAAGACATACCATTTTGGAATCGGACAACAGATAGAAAAGTTATGGGCTTTGAAGTACAAGATTTAGGTCTCTTTTCTGCAGCTCCAATTTCTTCATGGAAAATCGACCCAAAATTACAAAAAAATGTGTGAATGCAGATTTTTAGGGAATTTAACCACGAGCTATTTAAGATATACCATTCTAGAATCGGACTTTAGATAGAAAAGTTATGGGCTCTGAAGTACAAGATTTAGGTCACTTTTCTGCAACTCCAATTTCCGGAAATTTGGAAAGGGGTTACCTCATTGAAAAGTCAAAGAAATCGACCCAAAATTACAAAAAAATGTGGGAATGCAGATTTTTAGGGATTTTAATCAGGAGCCATTTAAGACATACCATTTTGGAATCGGACAACAGATAGAAAAGTTATGGACTTTGAAGTACAAGATTTAGGTCTCTTTTCTGCAACACCAATTTCCGGAAATTTGGAAAGGGGTTACCTCATTGAAAAGTCAAAGAAATCGACCAAAAATTACAAAAAAATATGGGAATGCAGATTTTTAGGGAATTTAATCACGAGCTATTTAAAACATACCATTTTAGAATCGGACTACAGATAGAAAAGTTATGGGCTCTGAAGTACAAGATTTAGGTCACTTTTCTGCAACTCCAATTTCCGGAAATTTGGAAAGGGGTTACTTCATGGAAAATCGACCCAAAATTACAAAAAAATGTGTGAATGCAGATTTTTAGGGAATTCAACCACGAGCTATTTAAAACATACCATTTTAGAATCGGACTTCAGATAGAAAAGTTATGGGCTTAGAAGTGCCAGATTTAGGTCACTTTTCTGCAACTCCAATTTCCGGAAATTTGGAAAGGGGTTACTTCATGGAAAATCGACCCAAAATTACAAAAAAATGTGTGAATGCAGATTTTTAGGGAATTCAACCACGAGCTATTTAAAACATACCATTTTAGAATCGGACTTCAGATAGAAAAGTAATGGGCTTAGAAGTACAAATTTTAGGTCATTTTTCTGCAACTCCAATTTCCGGAAATTTGGAAAGGGGTTACTTCATTGAAAAGTCAAAGAAATCGACCCAAAATTACAAAAAATATGGGAATGCAGATTTTTAGGGAATTTAACCACGAGCTATTTAAGACATACCATTTTGGAATCGGACTACAGATAGAAAAGTTATGGGCTCTGAAGTACAAGATTTAGGTCACTTTTCTGCAACTCCAATTTCCGGAAATTTGGAAAGGGGTTACTTCATTGAAAAGTCAAAGAAATCGACCCAAAATTACAAAAAATATGGGAATGCAGATTTTTAGGGAATTTAACCACGAGCTATTTAAGACATACCATTCTAGAATCGGACTTCAGATAGAAAAGTTATGGGCTTAGAAGTGCATATTTTAGGTCACTTTTCTGCAACTCCAATTTCCAAAAATGTGGAAATGTCAAAAAATCTACCCAAATTACAGGAGATTTTTAGGGAATTGAATCACAAGAGGGAAATTCATTTAGCGACTTAATAAGCGGGAAAGATGACTTTTGGAAATGGTTAATGGGAAAGGCACTAATGAAAAAACTTACTATACCCCTGGAGCACCTACCACTTTCAGAACTACCAGCTTTCAGGCGATTGCTGGCATCCAGCAGAGCCTTTGGCTTCTCCCAGGCGTTTTTGGGGGACGAACTCTTTGCGACTCTGGCCTTGACCCTCAGTCGCTCCCCCACGGATCTTTTCGGTGTGGATATGGCCACTGGGGCCACGGAGACACTTGCCCGGCGGCTTGGAACTGAAGTCGGAGCTCTAATCTGCGGATGGCTGGATAAGGACGAGCTGCGCGTGGTCCGCTTGATGTCCCTTTCCTTGATCGGGTTCTTGTCCTGCACCCGCTTTATATTGGCTTGTAGCCGCTTTAGGCGATCCTGTGCAGGTTGCCTATTGCCAGGGACGACTGTTGAAATGCGATAATTAACTGGCTAACATTTCATTTCGGAGGGGGCAAAAACTCACCATTTGGCAACCGCGGACTCCCAATCAGTTTATCCCACTCCTCGTCGCCCAAAAGTCGGGGGTTCGTTAACTTGCCTTGTTTGTTTCTGCCACTGGACGACATGATGTTTTCTTAACCATTTAATTGTTTGTTATTGTATTGCTTTTTGTTTTTGCTTAGCACACCACTCGCTTTCAATCAGATTAGAGATGGACCAAACGCACGTGACGCACCGATTTCTTTCGTGTCACGATAGGAAATAATGACAAATAGTTGGGTATGTAAAACATTATGAAAATGTTTGATAAATGAAAAATTTGATAAATTGATATTTAACTTCACGATTCGCCAAATTGTGTAGGTGATATCCGTATAAATGTTGTAAAAAGCAATTAATATAAAAATATCAAGAATACCCTTATCTTGTATTTTTTAAAGCCGCGCCAGCATTTCCTAACGGTCCGACTACGGGCACACTGCTCCGGTTTCGAATTGTTTAACAAGTTTTTGTTTAAAGCTTTCCCTACCACTGAGTAACCGCCTCTTTCCGCAAACACAACACAACTCGGCAGAATGATTAAGGTACGTGGGGGCTGTAAATAATAACCATATAGCGATTACTCGGGAATTAGTGAAGACAAAATGCCGGACGACCCGGTGCCCGGGTGCAAAGTCCAATTGGGATCTGAACTCGTGTCTTTGGGGGCCATAAATAACCGTATCTCTTTCTGTAGCGATGCACCTTGTACCCGCCGGGCAATTAGCATTACTTTCTCGCAAGTTATACAATAACATAATGTCATCATAGAGGGGGCTTATCTGGAAAGTGAACTGATACTTATGCAGAGTGCTCCCATCTGTTGCTTGCTAAAAATAAATAAATAAACCGGCGTCAGGGATTTGTTATAGTTCTTGGGCTTGGTCGGAGATAGTGGACCCTGTTTTAGCTACATAACTGTAAAGAGTAAAGGTTCTGCACAAGTCTCAACTTAAATATAATGTTTTGTTTTGAAAACCATAACCTACATATTTTGCAAGGCAACATTTTATTAAAGATAACATTGTTAACCAGTAGTAAAAATTGGTAGTGTTTCACCAATTCATAAAGACAGCAAAATCATACTTTCATTTGAGATAGTAAAAATCTGGTAAATATATTTTAAATTACAGTTCAAATTACCTAGTTTTTTTGCCTAAAATAACCTAATATTCCTGTTTTCTAAGGGGTCAGTTTTATACCGGTTTTTAGAGAAATTTCCAATGTCAAAATCTTAAAAATTTAAATTTTATAATCCTCCTTCTGATCCCCTCTAGAACGCAGTATCGCTGGTGACCGGAGGAGCCTCTGGACTGGGTCGCGCCACCGCCGAACGCCTGGCTAAGCAGGGAGCCAGCGTGATCCTGGCCGATCTACCCTCATCCAAGGGCAACGAGGTGGCCAAGGAGCTGGGCGACAAGGTGGTCTTTGTGCCCGTGGATGTGACTTCCGAGAAGGATGTGAGCGCCGCCCTGCAGACGGCCAAGGACAAGTTCGGTCGGCTGGATCTGACGGTGAACTGTGCGGGCACCGCGACGGCGGTGAAGACCTACAACTTCAACAAGAACGTGGCCCACAGACTGGAGGACTTCCAGCGGGTGATCAACATCAACACGGTGGGCACGTTCAATGTGATCCGCCTATCCGCCGGCCTGATGGGTGCCAACGAGCCGAATCAGGATGGACAGCGTGGCGTGATTGTGAACACCGCCTCGGTGGCGGCCTTTGATGGCCAAATTGGACAGGCGGCCTACTCGGCCTCCAAGGCGGCTGTGGTGGGCATGACTCTGCCCATTGCCCGCGATCTGAGCACCCAGGGCATCCGGATCTGTACGATTGCCCCAGGTCTGTTCAACACCCCAATGTTAGCTGCGCTTCCGGAGAAGGTGCGCACTTTCCTGGCCAAATCCATACCGTTCCCGCAGCGCCTGGGCGAGCCCAGTGAGTACGCCCATCTGGTGCAGGCCATCTTCGAGAACCCACTTCTCAACGGCGAGGTTATCCGCCTCGACGGTGCCCTGCGTATGCAGCCCTAAATCTTATTATGAAGAACCCATAAGTGGCTCGATCAGTTTGCATTTATCTATTGTCTAGTGCTTAAGCTGAAAAGTTTTATTATCTGTCCCGAAATTATGTAATAATTGCTATTAAACACACATTTCAAATTTTAGGGGCCCGTCTGTTTGGCTCTTTTCAACACTGTTGAAAACTTGAATGGTATTATAGGGTTTTTTGGGTTAAAATTCATCTGCAACAGGTAATACACTTTTAAATAAGTTTAATTAAAATTTGTGGTTATCTTGCATTATAAATTAAAATAAATTATGAACAAAGCTTAGTATCAACATTCAAGTTTAAAGGGTATTTTAGAACACCAACCTTTTAATTGATTTCATTTCACGCAAGTTGGCAGTTCCTTTTACAATTGTAAACAAACTCGATTAAGAATCGCTCTTAAAAAGATAATGCCGCAATATCAGCGCTGCGGAGATATAGTGTGGATATGCAAGAAGCGGACGCGCACCTTTGCTTTCCAGTGCATCTTTTGCCAGGACAGCAGGACGACCACATTCAAGGACTTTAAGTTGCACCTGGAGAGACAGCACTCGGCGCTTTTCCAGGGCGAAGAAAATGAGGACATAAAGCCCGTTTTGGAAAATGAAATACTTGACAACAGAGATCAGGAGGCTGTCCCCACAGCCAAGGAAGAGGATCCTTTGGCATCACAGGTCGAAGAACAGATTAAAATGGAGGAATTTTTGTCAGAAGACGATGCGCAGGAATTCCAAGGGGACCATGAGGAGGACACCCTGCTGGAATGCTTAGAGAGCGATTGCGACAGCATCGAGTCGCTGCAGGCTAGCAAAGAAGTGCAAACTGTGAGCTACCAATAACATATGCACATACTTCGCTTCTTATACTTACACAGCTTTCATCCCATTTTTCAGCCACCTACAATCACGGACTTATCGCCGTTTTGGTTGCTGGAGCACCCCATAATGCTGGCCTTCATCGCACAGCTGGAGCAGCAGCCTCTGCTCTGGGACTTGGGCATGGAGGGCTATCGGAACTACAGGCAACGCAGCAAGGCCTACGAGAAGATCGCTGGTGGACTATTGGATCAATTTGGACTAAAGCTAACAGAGCAAGATATAGCCTCATATACCAATCAACTGAAATATGTATATAATAAGGAAAAGCTACGCCTGGAGCAGATTACAGATCCACCAGCTACCCCAACGTGGTATTACCAGCGGCTTCACTTTCTGGTTAAGAGCCTGGGAGGACAGGGGCAACCTCTTGGGTTGCATCATGCCCAGAACCTGAAGCTCATCGAGCTGTACCGCCAGTGCCGCGCGAACTGGGACATGCAGGACATGTCCTGCCGACTGAATCAAGTCCGTCGGGCAGCCAAGGACCGCCTGCTGGAGCTGTGTCGCTCTGAACTGCATATTCCGCTAGATCCCTCGCAGCTGCAGGCTTTTGTTCGGCGCCTGAGGTCCACGTATCGTCAGGAAAAGGCTCGCCAACTTAAGAGTGAATGTGAGGGCAAGGAGTTCTGCTCCCGTTCCCGCTACTACGAGAAATTGAAGTTTTTAGAACAACACATGGCGCCGTTTCGGTGCGATTTGTGCCACAAGTTGATAAACAGCGTGGATCTCTACAAGATTCATCGGGCCAAACACGATGGCAGCCACCCCTTTGTATGTCCAACATGTGGTAAGGGCTTTTACAAGGTTGGTGATTGCACCAATCACTTCCGGAGGCACAATCCGGACTACCATTTAAGCTGTGAGGAGTGCGGCAGGCTATTCGCCAATACCGCGGATGTTACAAACCATCGGCGGACGCATACCGGCGAACGTCCCTATTGCTGTCACATCTGCGGCAGGCGCTTTCTAGCAAGCACCTGTTTGAAGAGGCACAAGCTACGGCATGAGCAGCGTCGGGTGGCCAAGTGCCACATCTGCGACAAGGGCTTTTACACGCGAAGCGAGCTGCGGGACCACATCAATGCGCATCTGAACGTGCGCAATAAGGAGTGCGATGTGTGCCACAAGCGATTTACCAGCGCCAGGTACCTGAGGCGCCACAAGGAGATCCACGCAGAGCACAAACGGTATTTGTGCAAGACCTGCGGGAGGAGATTTGCCCAGGATAAATCACGGAAAGCACACATGAAGACCTGTCGCGTCTTAATTAAGATAACTAAGGAGGAAGAGGAGGTCCCTCAATAATCCTCATCGGAACTAGGAACAGGGAGCCTTTTACTATTAGTTATATCAATAATCAATATTTAAATACTTAAAAATGGTGCTTAGGATTTATATTCATTTGATTGTGTACGATAACTGGCATTGTACTTTTTACCTTTACCGGCTTTGGTATTTCCTACCTATAAGCGGTAGTGCCCTTCCCATCGCAGCCGATAAGTTATATCTCTATGGGTTGGTCAAGGCCCTGACTTGCTCCAGTTACCCACAAATTGCCAAAGTCCAAGCTGGCGGGGTATACAGCCACCAGAGCAGAAGCCATTGCCATTTGGCAGTGTAAACAGAGCGATATGAATGTTGGATATATCATGTGCATGGGGAGGATAGAAACTCCTACAGTGCATTTCACACATTATCGCCAATTCTGTGACAGCTAGTTTTATTTATTTTTGTACCCAATGCTTTGGCATTTGTTTGGCTCCCCGCTTATCTTATCGGGGGTGTCGGAGTGGCAGAGACTGTGACTGGGGAACAATTAAACGTGCGATAAGCGCCCAGAGAATTCCAAACGCTGGTCCCAGTCAGTCAGTTGAAATTGGAGCTGCCTGCGAATTATCCACCATTCATGACCGACTGGCAATCGAGCCTCTGACACTGCGTCATTCAAATCGCAAAGAAAAGGAAGATTGGCCAAGTAAAAGTCATCATCAGAAGCCCAAGAAGTGATTTGTGGTCAACTTGTGTTGCCGCTGTGCAAGGTGTTGCTGCTGGAGTTGCAATTTCGTTTGCTATTGCAACTTCTTCGGCCAACAACACTTGGCGGAAATAGGCACTTAAAAAGCGGAAGAGGTGGGTGTTTACCACAGTATATACTGCCTAAAGAGTACGACTCTTCTTAAGGATGTCGAATATTAGTTATTTATAACATTCAACAGCCATAAACAATATTTCTTTAGTTTATAAACTTAAACCCCACTTTTTTTATAGCTTTAAAGTTGCAAATATGTCGTCATATAATGTAGGTTCTTGCCTCTCAAATGGGTTTTATAACTACCAGTGCCCTCTGTCTTTGCTATCTTCACTTAAATTCAATAGTCATGAACTAATTATACCCACGATTATTTCCCTCCGCACAGTGACGTCACTTGCCACCAAAGAAGGAGGAGAAGGAGGGTTTCGCTGGTCAGCTGCCTCTGCCTTTGGCGGGTATTCCGATAAGCCCAAGTGCAGCCAATCGAGAAGAAGTGAAGAGGAAAGGGCGGACCACGATAAGCGATCCCAGCATCATGCAGACGACGACACATCAACGGCCAGTAACGCCTGGCACTCCAGACTCGGCACATATCGTGATCGGCGCCGCGGGACTTGTGGCACATGAGAGACGCCAGCCCGGAAAGACCCTGATGAATTGTTTCCGCGACCGCTCCACGACATCGTCGTCGTCGTCGCAGGCCCAACACGTCTATGTGCGCGGCCACAGCGTCACCTCGGGCACCCTGTTCCGCCTGGAAGGCAATGGCGGTTCCAACAGTAACTTGGACAAAGCAGGCAGGCAGGAAACTGGACGACCCGAGGCGGTCGTCCTGCTGAGAGAGCTGAAGACCAAGCCCAACAAACTGGCGCTGCTCAAGAGCAGCAGCAGCAGGGATCTGACCCGCCTATTCCTGGATGATGCGAACAACACGGCCGTGCTGGTGTCCAACACCAGCCTGGATGTCTGCTCCTCGAACTCCAGCTCCGGCGGAAGTCCGGCGGTGGGTAGGTCCAGGGTCAGGGATCGCCACAGCGCGGTGGAGTGCTGCAGCAGCTGCTCGAAGCGTTGGCATGACCTCAAGCAGCGTATGCACACGCTAGAGCAGGACCTGCTAGTCCAGACCACTTACAGTCAGGAGTTGGAGCAGAAAGTAGGCGAAATGAGTCGACAGTTGGGCGAGCTGCTTCAGGAGCGGGACAGAGACAGGGAAAGGCAGCGCCCCGCAGGAGGAGGAGGAGGAGGATCCGGCAGGCGTCATCCCCATCCCACAGGCAGTCCCAATGTCCGACCCTCACGCCTGGTGGCCTGGATGAACCTGTCCAACTGGTTTAAGAGCAGGCCCAGCGTGGAGACCCTGCGAGAACAGCGCATCTTCTTCGACGAGCCCTGCTTCGATACGGAACTGGAGATGGTTCTAAAGCACGAACAGCATAGCACTGTGCCCCGGATCGTTGTGGACTGCTGCCATCTCATCGAGAAGATGTACCGCAGCTCCACGCAGCCCATTGAGGGCATCTACCGGCAGTGCGGCGATTACAACAAAATCCAAACGCTGCGCTTCAGCATCGATGCCAATGACTATGACGCACTGAAGCAGCCGGACGTGGATATACACACGTTGACCGGGGTGCTGAAGCTTTTCCTGCGTGAAATCAAGAGTCCGCTGGTTAGTGTCAACGAGGCCAAGACCTTCATTGGATCGGCCAATCAGTGGTGTAAGTTCGGAAGCCCCCTTTTAAAAGTATTCGTGTGTAATCTATTTCGTATTTTTCGCCCCACAGTGCTAACCGATCTCTCCGTCAAGCTGGACACCCTAAAAAGACTGATACGCTCGCTGCCGGAGAGCAACCGCGACACCATGGAGTATATCTTCGGGCACTTCAATAAGTGAGTGGTTCCCATCCTGCCTTAGAGTGATAATAGCTGTTAGTTTGGAAAATATCTCCTCCACTAAGTCCACAATTTATGGACATTCTTATGAATGGGGTTTTTAATTAAAATATTTCAAATGAAAAGTAACAGACATATTTTATTTTTTATTAAAATTATTCAGAAATATTCAGCATGACCCAGGCTTTATAATAAATTTCCAATTAGTCATTATTTTTTTAGTAATAAATTCATCACCATCGCTTTAAGTTTAATTTCGTTACACAAATCAAATACCATTTTTATTTGTGAAGAGACTTAAGAACATATTAAAGTTGTTCGCAAACAGTCATAGGAAAAGAAAATGTATAATCTCTGTGACACTCAATTGTAGTTCTTTTTCTCAGTTAGAACAGATAATCATATTTTATAAATGCTTTCACGTAACCCACTCTTAACTTTAATCTTCTATGCAAGTAATAAATTTAATTAATATTTTTGGAAATGGTTATAATACTAGGATCGTAGCGAAATACATATTAAAGAATAAATTCAATTGAATATTCATATTTATACATATATTAACAGATTGACTAAAGTACCACTGCAGCAAATCAGCGCCGAGACGCTGTCCATATCGGTGACACCCTCGATCTTCCACACGGTGCCGCAGGGCGTCCACATGCAGGACATCCAGAAACTGCTGCGCGAAGGCGAAACTTTAGCCGACTGCGTCAAGCTGATGATCGAGTACCAGGGGCGCATATTCGAGTAAGTGAGCCCCATAAAGGAGGAGGAGGAGGAGCCCCAGCCCCAGCCCCGTCTCCCTGGTGAAGGTGCATTGGTTTCCGGCCGCCCGCTACTGTTTCCCAAACCCGAATCCTAGCTGCTTATGTACGCCTCATCCAAACCGCTCATCCCTGTGCCGTTGTCTCGAACGTATTGCTAACCACACGAAATCCTGAACCTGAACCCAACACCCTCTGTACCTGCTACCCGAATCCCTATTCCCAACGATCCCGTCGTCTACAGATGCACCGCCGATCGCCGCCAGCGTCGTCTGAGCATGCGCAACCTGAAGAAGACTCTGTCGCAACCGGACCTCCTCTTCCACAATCTGTTCTGATCTGACCCGATGAAATGGACCCCCGGGATCCATAGGACCTCAGTCCTTTGATCCTTTATGCCAGAGAGAGCACTGTACATATTGAATGACTTTAGGCTTAAGCTTACTAACCCACATACAGGGACACAAGCAACTACTACGGCCACAAATATTATATTGATTTTTTTATATCATAACTTTTTTATTTATGTTTAATCAACTTTAAGGTTTTATCCTTCATAGAATAAAAAATAAAATATTTTATTAGTGCTGTTTTCACATTTTTCATTTGAGTAATAAACAAAATGACTAATGCTTTTATAATCTTCCGAGATTTCGAAAAGACCCGAGCTACGTTTTTCCCAAAACCCTTAGTTCGCTGAATCATTAAAAGACAATGGTAATGGATTTTCACGGTATTACATATATGTATATATTTTTTTGTATTTGAACTGCTCTATAACATGGTGGGGCTTGTGTTTTTTAGGAGGCGATTAGGAGGGGGGAATGTGGGGTGACTGGGGCAGAGGCAGTTGGGAAGAATCTATGATTTTGCAATACAGTCTAATCGTCACTAGAGCTAATATGTAATAGATATATTTTTTTAAAAACCAACTGGTTTTAAGTGCTAAGTGGCCTATAAACGTATATATATATATATCAGATGTATGCTTGTATGTTCTAGGTTTATATTAAGTTTGTTATTAGCAATCAGCTTTCTAGACTTCTTTCAACATTAACATTATATTTTTAGACATATGTGGTAGGTGTTTATCTTATGCGTGGGCCTTTCAAATTACATAATTGTATGTGTTGTATACACGTAAAGCCATCCGATTTAGCGCTTCTAAAATAATGACAAAACATTTCGCCTGTTCTTCTGATCACAATTCGGGGTTAATCGATGCATGTATATGAATGATTTCTATGATGTAAATAGGTAGGATTCTGCTTAAGTTGGTTTCCAATGAGGGACTTTAAAAAACTGAGGTCTATGACTGCTTTGGCAATCATGAAAATTAGATACATATCGAAGGCACAGGAATATTACACACATTTTACTCTAAGGGGACAGGGTCCTCAGAACTGAATTTAACTGAATAACTACTGGGTTTACCATGGCAGCTACCACATGCGCATCAGATCTGTTCAAGCTTATGCTAAACTAAATATAAAGTACACTCATTTACGGTTCTTTTGCTTTGTTGTATAATATTGCTCAACGCTCAATTTGTGACGTTCCCGAATAAAGTTTTGCAATCTTCTTACTTGAAGAACGGGTTCTTCGACGCCGATGACTTCATAGTGCACAAGATCTGACGTTCCAATTGAAAGTCATAATCCAGAGACTTAAGCAGTGTAGAGATTTCTGGCAATGTGGGTATCTATATAAATATATATATACAAATATCGAATTAGAGCGAGATGGTGGAATTTTTGTAATGCATCACTCACATCAGTTACAGCTTGATTGCGTTGCAGCCTAATGTCCATGACGAATGGCACTCCCTCCAGTTCGGTGTAGGTTCCCAGGGTGCCGGTGCCGCCGTAAGTACCACGTCCTCCCGCCGGACGAGGCGGCGCCGGTCGTTGTGGCGAGTTAATTTGATAGTTGGCTTGGATCTCTTCATAGTCATGCTGTTCAGTCGGTGGTTGTGGCAGCTGCTTGGCAGAATGGGTATATATTAGTTAGATAACGATGGGTTCAAGACACGGAAACACTTACTGGTCCCCGTGAGTTGCGCTGCCCTTGAAGGTTTAGGCGGTTTAGGGCCTGCTCCACCTCGCAAGTAGCAGCAGCTGAAACTCCTACTCCCGGCACTGGTGGCGGCTGGCGCACTGGAATCGCACTGGTCTTGTAGCAGATGAGCACTCCGTTGATATCGCCGGCCAGCTTAAAGCCATCAGGTGCCGCTTTTAGCTTGGAGCAAAGTATGATGTCGGTGACCGCCTGGGTCACTGTGCCCCGCTTAGACAGCTTGTAGATGATCTGCCGCTTGCGCCAGGCCTTCTGGTCACTGTCGGCCGTGCGGGAGACCTGTGAGAATTCCTTGGGCGGCGCCGTCTTGTCCGCAATGACTCTGCAAATCAATGGGTAATCCAGGGGATATGAGGTACAAATAGTTAAACTTACTGCAGTGTCTCCACCACGTATTCCGGTAGGCCTTCGGACTTGGACAGACATAGATAGCGTGTGTTCTGGCGCCCAAACAGGCTGTAGTCGCGCCACAGATCCGCATCCGAATCCTGATCATAGGTGCGGTGTATGGCACTAAAGTTCTTCGGGCAGCTGATAAAATAAGTATCTTTAATATGGATCAATCACTTTCGGATGGCAAACTCCCTACTAACCGCTCGAAGTCCTCGACAATGTGCAGCGATGTGATGGGCCGATTGTCTGGCAGGAAGCTCATGATGGAATTGAACACATTCGTGGTATTGGCTGACCCTGCTCCATTGGCTGCCTCCAGCGGGGATCCCAGTAGAGCTGCCGTGGACAGTGCCGCGTTGGGTGATCCGCCGCTGCCCAGCCCCGAGATGCCACTTTGGATATGCTTGCCCACCTTGTTCATTGCTTAGTTTCCTAAAAAATAAATTTAGCAGAGAAAACAATTCGTTAGCCGGTGATAAAAAATAACCAAATTTGGATTTGATTTATAGGTCGAAGGTAGTGATGGGTGAGATAATATTTATGTGTTTGTAAAAAATACAAATATTGTATATTCTCCTAATCCGTTTAATAATCCGGAATTCGGAAATAATTATCAAACATTTCATGATCAAGTAAGAATATCTGGAAATTATTACTCAGGCACCTTAATACCGGTACTTATACTGTGATACCCCCACCTCTGATCGCACTGGCGATCTGGTGGTGCTTTTTCCCGCCCCACGCAAGTGATTCATGATCTTGCTGCTGGGTTTTTTGCATGGCATTCTTTTGTAGGTCGCTTCACCAGGGCCAGGTCCGAGTTTCTCTTTAACCACTCACATATGCAAAGAGCTGAGGCGGGGTCAGGGGTAATAAAATAAACAAACGGCTGCCCGATCGAGTGCGCACTTTACAATCCGATAGTGGAGATGTCTCTCTTTTTTTTTTTTTGTTTTCCGGATTGTCAATTAGTTCTATATTTAATTACCGATAAGATAGACTGAGTAAGGTGACGGCCGGCAACACTGAGTCACCCAAAAACTGCAAAAACCAAATGCAAAATTAAATAAAACCCCGTTTACAAGAAATCAAAACAGAAACCAGACAAAGAATAACCATATACAAAACAAATAAAGTACCAATATCAACAGCACTGTAAGAAAAGGGGTTGGTTTTTATGATAGTTGGTTATTCGTTAGCAGAGAGTTCGAAACAATTTATTAAAAAATATAGTCCTATTAGATTCTTTTAAGAAATCATTGTTATCAAATTTGTAAAGTATATATTTTATACTAGTTATATGTTATCAAGTTCGAATAAGTTTTGAGAAGATATTAAATAATTGCACCCTACAATGTCTGGTGTTAAATTCGTTACTGTCTTTTCAATAAGATATAAAGAAAATTTATAATATTGGTTTTCAATATAAGTTTCTTGCCTGATTCTTATTTTAAGCAGCCTAATATCCCATCGATCATTATTTAAGATCTTGTTTTTTTCCTGTACACATACTTTCTAAGGTTTCGAAAGAAAAATACTTTGGCGCGCAGACAAAGAAAGGGGGATTACGAGTGGTTGGTGTATATATGTCTGGGGATGTGGGGAAACTCCGGCTGATAACCAAAGTGGAGCACACTTGGCTTAAAAATAGAAACCATAGAGAAACCGTCCGAAAACACCTCGCACACGATTCCAATTATAAGTGCAAATTGCCAAGAAATAGAGAGGCTCCCCTCCCGATTCCCCAAAAAAACATTAGTCAACCAACACAGCATCCAACCACACACTCACTCTATACGTACACAATTAATAATTCCCGATGGAGCGATTCGGGTTCAGAATACGAGTCCGCGGGCACCTATGACTCCAGGTTGCCCAGAGATCACTCAACGTTTAGGATCCGCTCTGCTCCGCCGTGTCGATAACTCTAGCAGCATTTAATAAAACAATTAACGATCCGGTCCCCCGATTTCAGAGTACGCCGTCTTCTATTGTTTGGCAAACAACAAAAAAAAATACACTGATTTATTTGAGATGAGCCACTATTTTTCTAATCATCGATTGTTTCCCGCGACTATCGATGATTGCTCTTTATATTGCCATCAAAAATCGAGTAAAATCTTTTCGTAAAATTTTTCTGGATTCTTATCAGTCAACTTATTCAAGCAGCAAAAACTTATAAATTAATTCTTCTAGAAGAATTTCAGAAATCTTATCAGTAAACTTACTTTTATAGCACAACGAATTATTAATTTAATGACACAGAGACACTTCTTAAATTGAATTTTAATTGGTTGTTTTTTTCCGACTTTAAAATCACAAAAGGAATGTTTATAAAGTTTTTTATTTCTTAAGCCTTGGAAATTAATAACCATTTAACCTAGATATTTTTGAGCAATACAGAAATTTACTTTTAATAAAAATAAAGATTTTCAGTTCAGAATCCGAACCTTAAGCTAAGAACCTTGACCTTCTAATCCTTAAGAAAACTTGAAGGGGATTCTTCATATTTGGTATAAGATACAATTATTAATAAATTATTTATCCGCGAAAAGTTGGATGATTTTGCAATCTTCAATTATTAAACCAAATTATTAAAATGCTTAAAAGAATATTTTTAGTAAAAAATAAAAACAGAGATAGCCCGCCACCTTTTACCACTAAAATGTCGCTTATAAGTGTGCACTTGCATTGGAGATTCTAGAGTAGTGGGTTATATGCTATCGAACATACTCGTAGTCATCGATAGTTCCTAGAATGCAAGCATCTCTAACCGCTCGAGTGGCGAAAGTACAATTTTGGTTGTTTTTTTATTTCTTAGCATAAACAAACCGGACAAAGACTGATCTTATGGAGAAAGTGGAGGCGGTGACGGTGCCCAATGTGGATGCGTATCGGCGACTGCTGAACAAGGCGGTGTCCCAGTTGCTGGTGGACAAGGGCGCTGGCCAGGCGAGTAACCAGTGTCTGGAGACGCTCACCCAGATGCTGCAGGCCCGTGAGTAGAAATTGGGGATTAGGAATAACCCATTACTGATTTACACCCCTTGCAGTGATCGGCGAGATTGGGAATTCCGCGCACAACTACTGCGAACTGAGCGGACGCACAATGCCCACCGTGGGCGATGTCAGCCTGGCCCTGATCAACATGGGCATCACGATCGCCAGTCTTGATCCGTATATGCGCAAGGAAACGCATGTGGGCATTCCCCTGCCGCCGCAGCAGACGCAACAGCGTCAACTGAGCCTGCTCCAGGCGGGCAGCAAGTCCTCGCATCCCCACTATGTGCCCAGCTATTTCCCGGCCATGCCCGATCCGCACGCCTACATACGGACCCCCACGCATAAGCAGCCGGTTACGGAGTACGAGGCCATAAGGGAGAAGGCCGCCTGCCAGAAGCGGGACATCGAAAAGGCACTCACTAAGTTCCTCTGCAAGACTACAGAGACGAACAACCTCTTCCCCACCGAAGATAACATGTTTCCCTGTAAGAGTCATCAAAAGTATCCCATTTTCTCGTAATTAATTTTGTTTTACTTTTCCTTCCAGTAATTGCCTGCAAGGCTGCCTTTCCTCCGTATGCAGCTGCCTTGAACCCCACGGATCAGGTGTTTGACTTCGAGGAGCTGGAGTATCACTATTTGGTGGCCAATCGCACAGAAGATGTCCCCAGCAAAGGTGCGTTTCTCCTTTATACACCAACTCCGCCTACTTTAAACACTTCCTTCATTTTTTAGAGGACGGCGAAGAGGGTGACAGCGAGAACGAGGAGATGGATGGCGACAAGTCCAAGGAGGAGAAGCCCGAGCTGGAGATCAAGCCCAATTCCACCACTAACAAGGCTATTTTGGAGAACCCAAACATAGATAATCCTTATTTACGTGCCGCTACCCTGCCGAAGCGCTCCAAGACTGGCCCGACACCAGGAATTATGCCCAGCCGCAGTCTGGCAACCACAGCACCAACGATACCCACGCCCTCCACCCTAGAGATAACCAAAAGTAGCATTTAAGTGTGCGGTTTTAAATATTGATAGACAATTTATACACTCCGGTTTTATATAAATTCTAAGTTACAAACTGACCGTTGAGGTGAGTTTTCAAGTCAATCTGGAGTTTTATTTTGGACATTACAGGGTTTGAGCATCCAAGGGGCATTATTATGAATTAACAGTTCTTATTGGTAGAGCTATTTTTAAATTTTAAAATAAAATTATTTACTTTTTAAAATAAAATTATTTTAAAATACTCATTACAAATTTAAAAGTTCTTCAAATAGTTTATTTGAAATTGGTTTAGTGTATTCTTAAACCATTTAAATGGACGTTGGTATAAAACATTGATAACAACCGAGGTGCGAGACTTAGCTTGTAGTCAATTAAACGGAAATGGATAAATAATAGTAGCTCCCTCTTAAGGTAGATCTACTTCTTATTCTTTTTCCTTGCCTTTTTAGCTAGTTATTTTGTGTTTTATTGGTCGTGATTCAACATTGTTAAACCTCCCACTTATTAAAACCATTCAATTGTAAAATGCAAAAGTATTGCCCAATCATATCAGTATCAATTGGGAGTGACTAATTTTATAAAATCCAATTTAATGGCGTGTCAAAGTTCTCACCTTTGAATTAAACAAGGCTACGAGCACAAGCCAATTATGAGATGCGAAAATATTGTTGTCCAACCGTATTAGTTTCAACGCATGGTGCATTTAATATTTTACATTAAATCGAATTATATTCATGTGCAATAATATGCTCCTCCAGTCCCCAGAATTTGTTGTAAATAAGCCCAATTATTATAGCCCGGTCAATATGAGAAGCTGGGGACAGAATGGATTCAGTCATTGGTAATAATTTAATGTGAAATATTTGTAATTAAATTACACCGTAAGCGCGGCCTTATGATTTGATTATGGCGAGATTGTGCACTATATTTGACACGTCCCAAAGTACGCTAATACGGAGGGATTTTAAAATCAGTATTCGATTATATTTAGGGTATATTTACTGGCTGGGATTTTAGTGATATTTCAATCGATTGAAGGCCAGCCCCTCAATGCCTGGTTGAAATAAGAGAAGAAGAGTATTTTGAAATATATACTCTTACCTTATAAGCTCAGAATCTCAGGAAATATTTAGATTCAGATTACAGATTTGTTTCACATTAGGCTGGCACCTATTTATTTATGTCCTAATTAATTTAAAATAAGTAGGAAGACCGAGTTTATTTCGTTAAAAACATTTTCTTCTATCCGCTTAAGTAGGCAAAATATTATCCAAGCTGGGTATCTTGTAGTCGACGTTAAAGCGTTTATCCTGATTATATTTTCCACAAATACTTTGGTGTGGGTAATTAGAATCGTAGTCAGTCGAACGGAAGGTGCTGCGAACTTTTATAAATTCAATGATGCGAAATTAATAATATTGTCACACATGCTGCTGCCAAATGATAAATTGCAAAGAATACCATAATATGCAAATTTATAATTGCAAAAAAATGTGAGTGTCAATATGTCCACTGTGGAATATGAAAATATTACATGAGTTTGCGATTCCTTCGGCTTATACTCATTTTATAAAAGCCTACATATGTCTTAAATTCGTCTCTATTCTTTTTGGAAACTATTTACCTCCAAAAAGTATCGACTAAGCTGTAATCCCTCCCCGTGTGAATGTTCGTGTGCAAATTATGATCTGAGGTGCCGAAGAAAATTAAATTATAGAGAGATAGAAATAATGTGCGAGACTCTGTCTGTTGTTTCTTTTTTTTTTGTAATTTAATTTAATTTACATTAAAAAATATAATTTGTAAATAATGAAATATAATCAATAATTCATCAAGATGTTCAGATGTTTGGTTGTTGTTTTGAATCGTTGATCTGAATTATTTGTAGCAGTTGAGTTTGAGTTTGAGTCTGAGTTTGATTTTGAGTTGTTTAAGTTGTTGCTGTTGTTGTTTATTGACTTCATTTCTGATCAAATCCATTGTGGACACATATATATGGCGAGATATATACATGCATATATATTTTTGTAGATATATATATTAATAGATTTATATAAATTGTATTGCTTCAGATAATTGTTGTAAATAATTTCAATTATTGTTTAGGGCGGGAGTCACGGGTCAGTGGACACTAGTGGACGTGTGGACACTTAAGCTTCGGCCTCAACCTCCTCCTTCACCTTGGCATCTCCGGGCTTGCCCTTGGACCAGTCGGGTTTCTTCTGCTCATCCGGAATCGGGATCGGAGGTGGATGTCATGACGGAATAGAGGAGAAAATGAATCGGCATTAGTTGGATAATCATAGCGAATGGCCACATACAACATCTGGATGCTCGGTGCCGACACTAAAAACTACATTGTGATCTACATGTACAAGTGACTTGTGTGTGCTCCGAAAGAAAGTAATATGGTTTGAGGGTCAATTTGATCTGCATTGATCCTTCGATCAACAAATTTTAAATAGAGATCATTATCCTCTCAAGATTAATTTCAATATTGGATGAGTGATATTTCTTTTATAAAAGAAAGATCAAATTGACCTCGTAACACATCGAGTAAATCTATGGTATTTTTTCTTTTTTGTGTGTGATTTAGAGAGAAAGTGTTGGACTATAACTACTGACTAAAGACAGCTACCAATCGTAGAAAGACAAAGACAGATCAGTGTGCGACAAAAGATATAGAGAGAAAGATATAGAGCGGGTGCACTTAGGTGCTCAATACAAACAGAAGGATTCTGGGTCACACGCACACACTCAGGTTCTTACACTTTTTGGCTTGTTTTAGCACAGCGGCATCTTTTATCTTTTTCTAAACGTCACAGAAAAGATAGAGATATAAAGATCGGTGTAATGTTTTGATCATCGTCGAGAAGAGATTATAAATTATAGATTCCCGCCCAGAAGTCCCCCATTTACCTCCTTCTCCTCCTCCTCCAGCGTGAACTCCTTCTTCTTCACCACCTTGAGCTGGTTGCGGAAGTTGAACTCAGCGGCCTTCTTCTGCAGCTTGGCGAATTTGTTTTCGTATTTGGAGACCTTCTTCAGGGCTGGCTTGACGCTATAGGTAGCAAAAAGGAAACAGTCGATTTATAATCGAATTTCGATCGATTATTTCGATTGTACTTACAACTTGCCGCGAAGATCGTTAACTTGGGCATTGAGATCGTTGATCTGTGGTTACACGTCAGAGATTAAGAGAGAGTTGGGAAGAGAGAAGTTACGCGATTAGAACGAGTTCATCGACTATTGTCAAACGGTCTATCGACACATAAAGCTACAGCTACTGGCGGGCAACTATCAAAATCAAAATGCTTCAAGAAGAAGTTCTTTCTTTTCGATGGAAGGTTTTTTATAGACTAGGCATGCAAAGGAAACAGGAAACATGGGTTGCAGACATATAGAGCATACTCTACCATTGGCACTACCATTAAGTCGTAATGCTAAGTTCTAGGAGCTAATACTAGGGCGTGCTTGCGTGCGTGGGTGAGTGAGTGCGATAGAGCGAGTAAGCGAGCGAGCGGACGAGCCATACGAGCCAAGTTCTCTGCGATCTAAACTGCCTAGTGGGAGCGAGACGAGGATATTGGTGGTTGCGGAATGGTGGTTCAAAAGATTGGCGCTTTTATATTTATATTCAGCTCGCGCCTCTTGTTGATTGAACAGCATAACATCCAAATGTCGATTGCTTTTGCTTTAATGCTTTATTTGTAGTTTTATAGAGAGTATTGTTCGTTTATACATATATACACTAGACAGAGACAGATAGTCAGAGTGATCAAGTGAAAGAGATAGAGATATAGATAGTCGGATTCGGAGTGAGTGTGACGGAACGAGCGACGTTGGCCTGACTGCAACTGCAATGGAAATGGAACTGAAACTGAAACGACTGAAACTGAAACATAAACCCAATAGGGCGACTGGGCTGAGGTACTGCTTAACGGTATTCTTATATATCGTTATCGTAATCGTTATCGGATCGCTAATAACAGCCTCCTTTTCCTCTGCTTGCTCCCTTCGTTATTTTGTTTTGTGTTGCTTTTCCTGCTTTGCTTTGCTTTCTTGTTTCTCTTTCTTTTGATTTGTTTGTTCGGCTGCGCGTTTCATTTGGCATTTTTGCGGGTTCGTGTAACGGTAAACGGTATCGGTATCGGTAATCGGTATTTCACGTTTAGTGGACTAGCATTAAGTGATTCAATCGAGAAGTAATCGACGCTTGGCTTTTATGCTTTTCAATTTGGAACTCAGTTCTTCTTAGCTTTGCTTTGCTTTTCTTTTCTTTTTTTGTGGCTTTTCGCGGACAGAGAGTAATAGAAACACAGAAAAAAAGTGACAGAAAGACAGAGATAGATAGAGAGACAGAGATAGACAGAGTGTGAGCGGCAATGGGAAATATTTACACAAACATTATTTACAATGAAGTGCGGTGGCTTGGTGGGCGGTGGACAGTAGAGGGCGTGGCTGATCGGGATAGGTTGGCTGCTGCTTGTCGGTCTTTACGGTGTAATTTTTTATTTGTTTTTTTTTCATGTGCTGCATGCAAAATGTTGCGTGCTTGCGTGCGTTGCGTTTCGTGTGAGCGTGACTGTACTTTTTATTTTTCACTTGTGGTCGTGTGCTTTTGTGCTAGTGTGCTTGTATGCTTTTGTGCTTCTAAATTTTTAATTGTAATTGTGTTTGTGGACCGGACGCACAGACTGCGGTGCTGTGTAGTAATGGCGGTAACGCGTCGACAGCGGCACAAACAAATTTATTTTTTGGTTACAGTTAAGAAAAAAGAGAAATAACACACACACAAAACAAAGTTCACAAATGGTGCAACAAACTAGTTATCTTGCTGTTGTTGTTGCTGTGCAATTTACTAATACTACATTGTTGTTGCTTGTTTCTTGTTGTTGTTTTTTGGTTGTTTATTGTTCTTGTTGTCTGGGGTGTGTAGTAACTGATGAGCATACTTGGATTGCCAGTTAATTGATATTTTTGCAAAAAGGAAGTGAGGAGGTGCCATGTGACATATTTGTTCGTGTGCTTGGTAGCGGACTTAACCTCACTAATCGTTCGGACATAACCTCATTGGAAACGACACATTGTTGTCGGGTAGTTGGGTAGATTTCTCGACAGATTCGATAACGATTGACTGGTCTGGTCTGGTCTAGTTGGCAATCCGCGCGTTTTCAGCTTATTCGTGTTTCCGTCTTGAGTTTTGGAGTTAAACGTGAGTAACAACGGCATTAGAAACTCAAAATCGAAATTGAAATCGAACAGAGGGAGTAGTACGAATAAATAGTCACGATTGTGTGCCCTTACCCACACCCACATATATGCTTCTGTATATATATATGGGCAGGGGAAGCACGAGTGGTTGTTGTTTTGTGAAACAGTCAAGTAAAACAGATACAAACTAAGAGACATATTTTTGAGATGCGCATTCAACAAGTAAGAAAGAAACAACGGAACTGAACGGAACGGAAACGAACATGATACTAGAACTCAAATGAATACTTTAGATAATCAATTCAGATTTTAGTTTTGATACAATTTTGTTGCATTCTGTCTTAGGTGAGTTGGTTTTATTATTATTTTTTTGTTTGGTTGGTTGTTCTTTTGTATTCAGAGTTTTGACATTGATTGATTGATTGAGAACGATTTGAAAATTTAAATTGAAATTGTTGCAGTACCTCCCAGTCTTTTTTCCTGACTTCGTATTCCAGATCCCATTTCTGGCCTTCACAAATATACATACGCTCGTAATACTCTTCGCAAATCTCTTGCAATTCGCCTGCAAAAATATTTTATTTTTCGGGATTTGGTTTTGGCTTAAACTTTTAATCGACGATCGACGTTTGGTAAAGTTCTAAATCTAGGTATGACTAAAAGTAGTTATGATTGGAATTACTGTTTATAGAGTTTTCTTTTGGTTTATCGCAATAATGGTTATCGATATCTTATCGTTTGTTGTTTCGCAGCTTCATTAGATGTTATGTGTTCGATGAGTTTTCATTCTTCGATTTTTTTTGGCTTGGATTTTTTACTGTTTCTGTTTCGGAACGGAACGGAACAAATCGGAGCGGAACGGAAGCGATCGTTACGGTTTACGTTATTGGCTTATTGGGTTCGCGTGAATTCCATGGGCTTCACGTTTAGCTGAGACTTATTATTCGGGTTTGACAATTAATGAAAGTTGTTTCTTATTGATTTTCCTACAAGCTTCCCCTCCGGCGGACCGAAGACCTGGCTTGGGGGGTTCGGCGGGTTAGACAGTTCCCGGATCCGGACGAATAGACTATATACACGGGCGGCCCGGGAACTATTTCGCCCAAGTCCGAACTGTTTGAAGCACGCGCCGATGCGAGAAAATCTCTCTGATTTTGTTTTTGTTCTGTAGTTTAGCGCAGTTAAAACAATATCAAAATTAGGTAAACGAACAGAAGTATCGCAGTAAAAAACTAAAAATATGATTAGGAAATATTTAGAAATGAAATCAAGTAATTAAATCAAGGGCATAATTGTAAAGTAGAGTTATGATTAATAATCGATTTATATATATGTAAATATCTTTTTTTTTTTTGGCTTGATAAGAAAGTAAGAAAAAAACATTCGATTTTGGTTTCTTTTTTTTTTGTATTCATTTTTTTTGTTTTTTTTTTGGGTGCATGGCAAAACTTTGTAAATCTTTGGGGAATTTACCTCTTGGGCCTTGACTTTCTGCACGTGTTCTAAATCAAACTTATCGCCCTCCAATTCGTAAACGCGTTGCCAATATTGTTTGCATATTGTTTGCAGTTCGGCTGCGGTAAACGGTAACGGTAACGGTAGCGGTAACAGTAGCGGTTACGAAACGGTAAACGTTCGACGTTTTTGAGAAGACGTAACGACAAAGTTCGTTTTGTATTGGTGTTTACGAGTGTGTTCGTTGTGGGTGTGTTGGTATTGGTGTTTGTTTGTTGTTTTGTATGTGTGTGTGGGGGTTACGGATCCAAGAATAGAGATAAGATATAGAGTGAAAGATTTGGGAAGACAGATATAAAGACAAATATTGGGAAAGAGAAAAGGAATGACATGGAAGAAGAGACAGTGACAGATATAGGTTAAGATACAAAGATAGATATTGTCAAAAGAAGATAGCAAGAGAGACAGAGAGAGAGAGAAGAAGATAGAGACGACGACAAAGACGCAGTAAATTGTTTGTTTTGATTTGAGTTTGTTTGTTCGTTTTTGGTTTGTTTGATTGATTGGTTGGCGCGTTTTCGAGAAAAAGAAGGATTAGATTAAGATTTGATTAATATAAAGTTATAGATTGAACTCGGTCTTTATCACCTACAAATGTTCTAAATGTAAGACAGTGTTGTGTATTCGTTTCTTGGTGCATCATGAAGTGTCTGTAAAAGTGTCAGTGTCTTCTGTTGTTTTCTTTGTGCGTGACTGTACTTTCTGGGATGACTGTACGTGGTTGGCCTGAGCTCTGGTCACTCTAGGAGTAAGCTGCACTTCCCTACCCCTAACCGTTTCATTTCATTTTTATATATTCTTTTGTTTTGGTGGGTTAGTAGAAGCTTTCACAAAAATACAAAAATAGTACATGTGTTTTTCGCTACATTAAAAAAGCCAAAAAACTTGTAGCCACAAAAAGCTTATAGCTAAAGCCGCAAAAAGCAAAAAAACGCACAAATACGGTGACATCAAAAAATAGGTATTGTCAGCATTTGTTGCATTCGGCTTGGGTTGTTAGTATGTGAAGGCAGCGTAGTTATTTTCGATCTTCCCGATATTTTGGGTCCGATCTGTAGGCTCTTATGTTACGTGTTAGCTGCATTGACTAGGGCTCTACTTTCTATATGGTATATACGATTTTCGGGTGCCCAAAACACCTCGATGTCTTTGGGGAGGGGGGGGCCTTGTTTGCACAGCTCTCTCCCAAAAAGAAAAGGCATATTTAAAAAATACAAGATGTTAACTACGGTTTCTACAAAGTGTTTTTTTTTTTTTTTTTGTCCGCCGGACACACACACTGGTGTATATATAGCTCCGAAATATTTGCATATATTTTTGGGCTGGTTGTGTTGCTGCCTCGGCTAGTGAAGTAAGTCTATATAAATATTGAGTTATCGACAAGTTCTACGATCTGCGAAAGATTGAAACTATTGGAAACCGGAGCTGCTTGCCTCATAATCCTTTCTGGCTACCTCGTACTCGAGATCGTATTTTTCAGACTCCAGTTTCAGTATCTTATTTTGATAGTCCTTACAAACACCCTGAAGAGTATCTGGGGAACGAAGTGTGGTTATCAAAACGGTTCGATCTGTATAGGTGTTTAAGTGTGTGTTTTTTTGTATGGGTTTGGGTGAGTGTGTTTTTGTGAAACTAATCTACACGAGATATGACACCTATACTTCCATGGGTAAACAGAACACATCATCCTCACTGGAGGTACATATAGAAAGAGACCTACATTAATTGGGTGAGTACACGGAGCTATAGAGCCATAGAGCTATGGAGTTTCTGTACAGTTTTTAGTGCCTGGGCAAATAACACTTTTCACGAACATATATAAGAGAATGTATTATACAGTAAACAGATTGAGAGTGAGATAGTATTTTAGATATATAGAAAGAGACAGCTGACAGAAGGTGTTTATATTGTAGTTGTTAAGCGTAGTTGTTAACTTTTGATTTTGATCGAGGATAGACTTAGGCGTATTTAGGTGGCGTATATAAAGTTGGTGGTGTTCGTGTACCTCAACATCCTTGCGTTTAACAACATACTCAAGATCATATTTCTGGTCCTCCAATTTATTAATCCTGTCATAGTGTTGCTTGAGCAGAGATTTGAGTGTGTCTGTTCACAAAGGGTTTTTTTCGGAGTGGTTCGGAGTTGGTATGGGGTGTTGGTTGTGTTGGAGTTGTGGAGTGGGGTGTGTGTGTGGATCGATTGGATTTAAAACGGACATGGGGGGCGGCAAAAGAGAGATAGAGATAGAGACACATTTAGATACATGTTGCACAAAGTGGTTCCTTTTCAGGCTATGGTTATTGGACAATGGTTCCTCTGCGACGTCGTGATCCGATTTGGGAGGTCGAAGGTAATCGGTTATCGGTTATTGGTTATCCTGCGATGTATGCATGTATGTGTGGGTGTGGGTGTGTGTGGTGTTTATGCACTGTGTCTCCGTGTTGGTGTGGGTGTATTGGTGTTGGAATGTTTTGGAATGTATGTATGCGATTGATGACAATTGTTCAACTTTTAGTTATCGATTTCGTTTTATGCTTCTCGACAAAGCGGATATATGATCCGCCAGCCTGGTTTACTGGTTGATTTCATTTATCTCCATTATAAGTTTATTAATTTTGTATGCCTGTGCCCGTTGAAGGTGCAAGGAAGCCACGAGGATCGGAACTTCCACGCACCTCGTCCCGGGATCTTCACCACTCGATTCGAGGACCGAGGCTACTCACCTTCGCTAGCATCGCTGAGATTTCTGGGACTGCCGCAACGTTCTTCGATGATACGTCTACGTTCAGCCGCTTTGCGTTCCTGTTCCTTCTTCAGCTCCTCAGCGGCTTTCTTACGCAGCAGCAACTGTGGATGGAGTATTGGTATCGGTGTTAGCAGGTGATCCGGGTGCACAGGAACAGCCAATAGCCCCGAAACTTACCCTGAGTTTCTTCTTCCTCTCTGGGGTCATGAAACCCTTCTTGGCCTTCTTGGCCTTGGAGGCTTCCTCCATGCGCTTGCGCACCTCAGCACGCTTGCGCTCGATCTCAGCCTGTTTAGCCTTCTTAGCCTGCAAATCAAAGACACAATCCGCGAATCAGCATGGTCAAGCCACAAATCCAAAATCGGACATAACACTATATGGTCGAACATGGCACAGCACAGCACAGAACTTGGACGTGAACGTTGACGTGGACTTGGAGTTGAACGGGCACACACGTACACAAGTGTACCTCCTCGGCCTTCACTTTGGGGTCGTTGGGGTCCTTGGGCGGACCGGCGGGGGCTGCTGGCGCGGCGGCTGCCGCTTTGCCATTGGCCGCCGGGGCCGCTCCCGGCTTGGCCGCCGCTGCCGCTGGTGCAGCAGCCGCCGGTTTGGCCGCCGCTGCCGCTGCCGGAGCCGCGGCCGGAGCTGCTGCCTTTTCTGAAATCAAAGCAAAGAATTTACAATTAAGTGGGGTTCATAGAGACAGAAATGGTGGTCTGCCCTGGAGAAAATAGCCAGAGTTTCAAATATTTCAAAAGATGTACTTGGATTATCCTTAAGGATTGGACTATCCATTATTAATTTAAAAAAAGGTAAAGAATTCAAACAAATACTCGGAAGATTTTACTCTTCTGACAAATAACATATTCAAAAGTATTTAAGAACCAATTTATGAACGGAAAGCAACAAATTTTAATTAGATACTCGAGAAATAAAAATGGTTATCCATTAGGTAATTTGTATCATCAACAATTTTGGACATCGTTCTTCTTTCATTTTGATTTAAAAAGTTATTCTATATTCTTCGTTAAACAAAAAATTAAGCAGGTGAAACTCTTGATTCGTTTTAAAGATTACAACTTTCTCCAAGCCCAAAACCAACTGAAAACAATGAGGGACAGCGAAAAGCACAGAGACATAGACACACACTAACGATAACAGACATAGCTTTTTGATTTAGACTTGACAGTTATCATTATCTGTGCTCCTTAATCGAAAGGAAGAAATGGCTGGGACTCAAAGGGGGGGCGCGAACAGCTGCGATCCTGTGAAAGCAAGAGAAAGGCATTTTGGCTTGGGTTGCTTGGTTGCTCAAAGTGAGGGGCAGTAGCAGCTCTGGGATCTATTGGGAACTCTGCTTACCTTTAGCCACATCCAGTCAGGGGTAGTCCCGTCCAAATCTCATCCATTTCCAGTGCCAGTGCGTGCAATCAATACCCAAAAATAGTTAACTGCCGAAGAAGGTCAAAGGTTAATCCACCATAGGTCAAAGCGATTGGAGAGCGTTTCAATAACGATACTCACCTCACCTCATCATCAGCCATTTTGATTTGTGTTTTTGGTTACTGCAAAAGGGAAAAAAAATCGAGAGGTGAACTCAAGGAACTGGAACTGGAGGTGAATGTGGTGAATGGTGAATAGTGAATGGAAATGTTCGGTGACATCATTCCGATTGTCCTATATATACACGGCTATAGGTATAGACGCCGATATATGTGTATATGTGTGTGTTTATATATATTTGTTCCATAAATCAGTCGCTCTCTCTCTCTCTCTCTCTCTTTTTCTCATTCACACACGCCTACGATCTCACCGAGGCCCACAGTGCGTATGCGCAATGATTCTAACATATGCCGCATATTACGTATACGCAGCATTGGGCCATGCCGTATATGGGGGGCAACCCCAGCATCTCGCTCGCTCTCTCTCTCTCTCTTCGATTGCTTTTCTTTCGCACATTTACTTTGGCGTGGGCGTCTGCCTGCCAGAAAAAGACCACTGTATTGCTAGATCTTTTCAGTTTCTCTCTTCGATATCCGATTTCAAGTGAGTGCTAAGAAGCCGAGTAAAGAAAGCTAGGCAAATCCTCTTAACCAACCAATCTCAGCCAGCTGATCTTGTTAATGGAAAGTTTCCTACAATATGGACTTTAAGCATCCACCATTTAAAAGGTATAACTTGAACATTTGCATATTCAATCTGATTAATGAACTCATTTATGCATGTTTTTATATGCAAGTTTTGAGTATAAAACATTTGAAAGGCTTTTAAGCAAATGTATATTTTGATGACATTACTATAAGCCATATTATTATGTTATGATTGTTGACTAATCCTTCTTATAGGTGGTTGAACAAGTCAAGGAAAATATAAAATAATAAAGGGATAAAAGCCTGTGAATATCCACTCGTAGCTGAATTGAATTAGAGATTTAACTCCTAATTAGGTGCTTTTATTGGAAAATAAATATGCAGTATATTCCTGTGAAGATTCTGCTAGTTAATAAAAGTAATCTTTTAACAATATTGTATTATTGATATGGAACGGTTCTATTAGAAGTCCTTAATATTTTTTTAATAGGTTAAAAACCTTGGTGAACTTTTATCTTTTTAAGGAAACAATAATTTGCCTCTTTAATGATGAAACCAAAATGCCAGAACCATATGGCTTAATAGAACGAAAAGCTAGGGGCCTAGGCGTATATTTAGCCCCAAGAATTCGACTTGTCTTTGCGCACCTTTGCGAAGGTAAGGCGTGAAAATGTTCTGACAATGACGACCTTCGGATATGCACACACACACTGAGGAAAATGCAGAACAAATTTAAGCATTGCTGAAGTCTCAGTCTCCATTTAGCATAGATCTCAGAGTAAGAGCGAATGAGACGGCTTCTATTGTATCTAGTATCTGTCTGTTTTAAAAATAAACCTGTTGATAGATACACGAATTTCGGATGCGAGAAATATGGCAGCTATTTATGATTCGCCGTTCAATTTGTTTATGTGTTCACGGAAAAAAAATGAAATTGGAACAGCGAAATTCAAATCGAATAATAATCCAAAAGTGCGGAGAGTATTTATCCAGATATATTTTTATATAGACGATGTGTGCGTCTTTTTCTCTGTGTGTTTGTCTGTGAGTGTGTGTGTGAGTGTGTTTTGCATGTGTGTGTATTGTTTTTCTCTCTTAGGATTTCGTATTCTCGCTTCGTTCTATTTTCAGGCACTTTCTCAGTATTTCAGCTTTTTCGAAATGTATCTTGTATCTGTGGAATACATTTTTAGCTTTCAGCACGCACACACACGCACACACGCACACACACACACACACTGCAACTTCTTACATAATTGGCAAGCCAATAGAAGAAAAAAAAATTGTTCAAAAAAATGAAGTCAAAATAATGTTTGCAAATGTTGTTCGTTGAATTGTCTTGTAAACACTTGTTAACTTGTGTATCACTTGAAAAAAATATCAAAAAAATAGTTGGTGAAAAAAAAAAGGTAGAATCCTCCTCTGGGAAACACACACGATTTTGGTCAGGTCCAGGTATATGTGGACATATACAACGTATCAGAAAGGATTGAGGCACATTTGTTTTTCTTTGCATTTTGCATTTTGAAGTTTTGCGTTTTTTTTTCCTTTTCTGTTGATCTTTCATTGTTATTTGTTGTCGATGATGTTTTCTCCTTTTCTTTTTTGTCATTTGTGGATGTTGCTCCGCTTCAAGCACTCACCTTCAAGGAATTAGAAAAAAAAGAAAAAAAATTCGGCTGTGCTGTCGATCACACGAATCGGATGATACTGAACGACACAAAAAGACTGAACGGTCCGACGATCCACGGCAGACTATATTCTAGCGGCCAGCCAACCAACGGATACAGATACGGATCGTTCATCGTCCGTCGTTTATCGTTTCGGTATCGGATCGTTCCGTTCCGACAGCCGACGGCCAACCGCCCACCTGCCCACCGTCCTTCGCGTACGTGCGAGAGCGAGACGGCGACAGCGCGAGAGGGAGAGGGAGAGAGCGGGGCGAGAGTGGTTCGGGGGCCGGGGCTATGTATCTGGGCGTGAGGTCTAAAAATAGACCCCCCAAAACACTGACAAAGCCCCAAAATCGAAATGGATACCGAAAAGTGTTCGGCGCCGGTGCCGAGCATTTCCGATCGCATCCCGATCCGGCACCCATAGGACCCCCCTCCCCCCAACTGCAGCCCGTAACGCCCATCATACCGCTTGGAGAAGAGCGAACAGGCTCTGTATCCGACGAATCTGTATTCGAAAATCCGTATCTGCAGTCTGTGTGTGCGCTGGTGTAAACGGAGCCGCTTGGAATTCAATGCAATGGATAAAAATAAGTTTTGCTCCAGTTGGGAGGAGGCTACGCAATGGCGGTGCAGTCGCTCTACGAGATTGGGCGCCCAGGGGTGGCGACCGCCTGCAGCCGGCCTCGGGTTTCGCCAGCCCTGACCAACAGGCCAGAAATTCGAAAATATTTATATAGTTTTGGGCACAATCCGTAGTCTGAATACGCGAACTACACCTTTGGGATTAAAGGTCAAGCGACTTATTCCCAATTAAATGTCTTCTTATGTTTAATAATAAAGTAATAGGTACAATTCCCCTAGAACTCCCAACCGGTTTAATCAACCAATATAATACAAAATTAGAAAATGCATTAATTCCTGAACTAAGTTTGTACAAAACATTGATCCTCAAAAGCATATAAACAACCAGAACAAATGTACAACTAGCTTAAAGTTTCCAAATGGCTTAAGTGATAAAAGAAGTACGAGTATGTCATATGAATGATACTATTTTGATAGAAAAGTAGTAACAAATGAAGTACCTAAAGAAATTAAATGACTAACAAGAAAAATAATACAACAATTATATCAATCCTTTAGTTATAATAACTTAATATAGTTTTATTATTATTATTATTATATTAAAGTTTTATTCTCTTAATTAGAATATTTGTAAGTAATTTATCATCAATGGAGTTATCACATTTAATTTAGTTTCAGACCGAGCCACTTTGGACTTGATCTAGAAAACTGCTTTAGTCGGTCTCCCTCATTTTGTTCGGCTATTTATCTTGGATGTTGTACGCTGACATAACTATAAACTTTCGAATAGTGAATTCTTGTCGAATTGTACGTGTGTATAGCCTATGTCCGTTTTGTTAATATCAATGTTTTAGCTGAATTACTTTGGCATCGTCAATCTAAATATAATGTATGTACGGAATATGGCCAAATACACATATACATTCCATATATATATGTATACATATATATGCTATAATGGTAAACTCTGCGAATGACGCTGCAACACACCTACAGAAGCCCACTAAGTGAAAATCACGCATACGCCCCGTACACAAAATGCCTTGCAACGTTTGTTGAAAGTAATTTCAAATTTCGCCGAGAACGAAACGAATAAAACGTTTCGATCACGAAACCGTGTCTATATATATATCATATATGAATTTAGATATACATAGACGCGTATATGTATGTTCCGATTCTATAAACTTTCTGCATAAAAGCAAAAACAATATATTGTTGAAAATAATGTTGCTTTTCCTTGCTTTTCTTGTTGTTCTCGGTTTTTTTTTTAATTTTTCTTGTTGTTGTGTGGCTTGTTCTAGCTCTATTTCGAAATGTGTTTTCGATGATTTCTATTTTGTTTTTTCCCCATTTAAATTTAGATCTTGGCTTCCAGGGGGGAGCAAATGGAAAGGGGACTGCGGAAGGGCAGTGGGTTAGCTTGAGGGAAATGTTTTCGTTTTCCTTTTCGTTTTCGTAGGGAACTTGATCAGTTCGTCTATGCCTGGACGAATCTATTTTCGCCTTTATTTTCGTTTAAAGCATTTAACCAAGTTTCGTTGCGCGCCCAAGCAATTTTCGTTTTAATTTATGAATTTCGAAAATGTTTTTCTTTTCAAAAACATCTTTTATATTGTGCTTTATTTTTGGCTCTTTGGCAAACAGGAAACATAAGAGCGGGGGTGGTTGTAAAGTTAAGAAACTAAAGTTTTATTTTTGAAGAAAACAATTTGATTAACAAAATGATAGAAAAACTGAAGCGTTTGTCAAATCTACCAATAAACAAAATAAAAGTTAAGCTTCCAATAAAAGTAAAATGTTTGAATGTACATAAATAATAGTCATAATCATGAGCTACTTATCAAAGTATGTGGATATGGCAATTAATAGCAATTCTCTAAAATATTATATGAATTTTAAGATTTTGCCTAACTCTACCCATCGTTTTTCATTTTCTGGCAAATTTAGGTAGGCAAAAGACATGCCTGGCTGAAATCGAGCTTAATTTGGGTCTAAAGGCGAACCGTCGATGGATGGTCAACATTCTGCGAGTGCGTCAAAGCAAAACAAACGTCATACGCCCCCTTTGAACCGCCTTTGAACCGCCTTTTACCGCCCCCTTGTTTGCCACCCCCCTCTGGCAACACCACCACCCCCACCCCCACACCCCTCTTGAACCACACACTCTGGGCTTGGCCTTGTAATGTTCGCTCTACCTGACAACTATTTGTCGCTGCTGTCGTCGTCGTCGCCGAACTCCCCTCTTGTTGCTGCTGACCCATTTAGGGTTATATATACACAAACAGGCACTCACATCCTGCATCCTGCATCCTGCCTCCTTTTTGCTATATGCACTTGCATAATATATATACTGGCACTCATGGAAGCTGTCAGCTTTCGCCAACTCCGACAAGTCCTGCGAAATATTTAAATAACACTGCCCAACTTGACCCCAAACTTTCCCCAAAGTTTCCTCAAATTTATTTAAATCAACTAAATGGATTATAGTTTCAAATGCACTTTACTTATATTGCTTGTATTAACTGTAGTTACAGAAACTTTTGGCGATCTCTTTAATCTGAAATTCAATCTGAAAGAGATTGGATGAAAAAGTCAAAGTAGGATTTATTAGTAACTTAATTTACAGATAGCCAAAAAATAATATTTAAACTAAACACATATTTTAAAAAGTTATGCTACCACAAAAAGTATTTTTATTCATATTCTGGGAGTAATAGTTAATTCATTGGTCAATTATTTGTTTTGAATTTCATTTTCAAAAATGAATTTTAGCTCGACTCTTGAATTCTTTATTTTATTTGCTTCTAACTTATAACTTTTTACATTTTTATACCAAATTAATATTAATTGTTGTTTGTCTGTTTGTTTGTTTTATCAAGAAATCAATGTCTAAAATCATATTTATTTGTTAACTAATAATTTAAGAGTGATCTTTGAGTTCGTTTCAAACCAGCTCAAAATGCAAACTTCATTTTGGATTAAGCAATTCGTATAGTTTTCAGATTAATATCTATGTAACCATAACTATATTATTATGCTTCTGTTTTTTTTCTACATTTGTTTCCATATTCCATAATGATGACGTGCGCACCCACAAATACACTCACAAACAGCCGGGCACACCGATGGAAGGCGTGAGCACTGTGTAGTGGATTTGCACTAGTTTCTCCGCCAGTGACGTCATAGTTTCCACGGCAGACGTCATCGGAGGCAGCGAGGTCAGTCCATGCAACATGCAACATGATGCAGGAATATGATATGGATTCCATGTGCATGCGCTCGTGGAAAGGAAAATGGCGCCTAATTGATTGATGGTCCAATAAGCTGAGGTCAATCAGGAGCCCCGATTTCTCCAGAATTTTTCCACGTCTTTTCCCTGACTTTTTGCAAACACTTGAAATAAACGTTTTACATAAAACAAAATTGTTTTCCTAAATACAGAGAACTTGAATAAAATTGTTCCTCAGGCGGTTGCAAAAATATGATTTGCTTTAAAAATAAGTAAATATCTTTTAGCAAATTATCTTTGTAGACAATCTTTTATTTCTTAATGTATTTCTTAAAATAAAAAACCATGTAAAGTGGGACAAATATGCAATTGTAAAGCCGAATGAAAGGTGATGTTCTTAATTGAAATTTAAAAACTTTTTTGCGAGTGCTTTAGTGGCCTGTCGGACGTCATTGGTCTTCATTAGCCAAGGAACCTCCGTCGCCCGGCCATTCCATCCACATCCACATCCGCCACGAAGGACATCCAGCTGCACAATTTTCCACATTTTCGCCGAGGGACTGAATGAGAGGGGGATGGTGTGGGGTGGGGGGGGAGGGTGTTGGAGGTTGGCTTTTCCATTCACTGCTGACGTTTGCTACTCCGTGCCTGCCTTGAAATCCTGCAGTTTTGTGAATGAAAATCTTCAGCGTCATCAATGGGCCTCCCATTCCGATTTTCCGTTGTCGGTGGGTGGGCGTGGCGCTATGGCAACAGAAATACTGAAATGCAAAAACCAGATAAATGTCAAGCGGGCCGAGCTGGCCATGTGCTTGCCCAATGTCCTGGCATGTCCTGGCCTGTCCTGGCCTGTCCTGGCCCATGGAAATGTACTCCTTTTGTGTCCTGTTTGGCTTTCAATTGGATCTGATTCGGGGCACTTTATCTGCCCCGGACTCTGATGACTTAAGCGACCCTATTTTGCAACAGACAGACATGGGGAATTCGAAAAGGAAATGGCCAATGCGATTTGCAATTTGGACTTGAATGCGAAAGGTAGTTGCGTTTAAATTGATCCACTATGGGACTTCTCATTGTTCCATTGCTGTCATCACAGATTTTGATTCTCGGTGTGGATAAAAAGGAGAAGTAGCTAAGAAATATATAAGTTCTTTGTAGCTACTTTGAATATTAAGTTATATTAATAATTTGCAATATTATTCAACTACTAAATTTGAATAAAATAAGTATGCTTAATATTTTTTAAACGGAATTTCCCCAAACTTTTGGAAAATATTA